CATCGGTGGATATTTCGTTTGATGATGAGGTAAAAGCCTTAATCTTGCTCTCATCATTGCTTGACAGCTGGGACGTGGTCGTTACTTCGGTGAGCACTTCTTCCGGCAAGGAGAAGATGAAGTTCGACAACATAAGAGATATGATGTTGAACGAGGAGACCCGCGAAATCGAGGCGGGTGGGTCGTCTGGCTCAGCTCTACATACGAGTCCAGAGGGAGACCCGAAACACGAGGGAAAATCCGTGGGAGGTCAAAATCCAGGGGAAGGAATAAAGGCAAGAAAGAGATGGTGTGTTGGAACTGCGAGAAGCCCGGGCATATGAAAAGCGAATGCCGGGCACCAAGGAAAGACAAAGAAGGTCGGACGACCAATGCCGCGACGGAGGACACGGCGGATGCACTCTTGTTGAGTGTGAGAAGCTCGCTCGATGACTGGATCGTGGACTCGGGGCCTCATTTCACTCATGCAGTAGCAGAGACATCATGGAGCCATACACCGCAGGTGATTTTGGCTTGGTATATCTTGCGAGACAACAAATCCCTAAAAATTGTAGGGAAGGGAGATGTGCGGATCAAGTCCGCAAATGGGTCATGCTTGGACCCTACGTGATGTGAGACACATTCCAGGACCGAAGAGGAATCTCATCTCGGTTGGACAACTGGACAATGACGGCTTCCACACAATGTTTGGAGACGGAAAGTGGAAGGTCGCCGAGGAGCTATGACTTTGGCAAGAGGGTCGAAGTCGGGAACGCTTTACACGACGAGTAGATCCAGCTCAAACATTCTCCTGGCAGGAGTTGTCTCACAATCGCACTTATGGCACGGTCGCTTGGGCCACATGAGCGAAAAAGGAATGAAGGTACTAAAGTCGAGAGGACTTTTGCCCGAGTTGGAGTCGGTGGACGTGGGTCTCTGCGAGCAATGCGTGCTTGGAAAGCGAAGCGAGTGAGCTTCATAACCACCGAAGAGCTCCAAAGACGGAAAAACCGGAGCTAGTGCACACCGACTTATGGGGGCCAAGACCGGTGACATCTCTTGGAGGATCGATGTACTACATGACGTTCGTCGATGACCGCACAAGAAAGGTATGGGTGTACTTTCCGAAAAGAAAATCCGAAGCCTTTGATACTTTCGGGAGATGGAGAGCACTCGTGGAGAAAGAGACAGTCCGGAAGTGAAATGTCTCGGATCCGACAACGGTGGCGAGTACAACAGTGAAGCCATCAAAGAATACTGCGTCGATCATGGGATCCGGATGCGGAAGACGGTCCCAGGGACACCTCAACAAAATGGCATTGCGGAGAGGATGAACAGAACACCGAATGAGCGTGCGAGATGCATGCGATTGAAGAGTGGACTCGCCTAAGATGTTTTGGGCGTAGCGGCCAAGCACGGCCGCTTTCTTGATCAACCGGGGCCTTCGTCCCATCGAACAACAAAATTCCGGAAGAGGTCCGGAGTGGTAAGAAAGTTGATCTCTCTTTCTTACGTACCTTTGGTTGTTTGGCTTACGTTTTGAATGACGACCGGACAAAGCTGGATGCTAAGTCCGTCAAATGTACATTCATTGGATATGGGACTGACGAATTTGGGTATAGATTTTGGGATGATCAAAATCGGAAAATTATTCGCAATCGTAATGTGGTGTTCAATGAAGGCATAATGTACAAGGACCGGAAGGAATACCCGGACGATGACAAGACCATGCAGGAGTATGTTGGTCTCGATATTTCAAATACCGGAATCATGAGACCAGCAGATACGGTGGGAGCTCGGATAGATGAGATCGAGCGTACGGAAGAAGAGGCGAGAACCGGAATCGGATGAACCGATTGCTGAGAGCAGCACGCCTCGGCACTGGGCCGAGAACCGAGGATGAGAAGGGCCCTGGATAGGTACTCCCCTTCTCTTTATTACCTACTTTTATCCGATTCTCGGGAACCCGACCGTTATGCGAGGCGGTTAAAGATGCCCACAAGAGCAAGTGGGAGCTTGCGATGGAAGACGAGATGAACTCGTTGAAGAAGAACCACACATGGGATTTGTGTGATCTCCCACAAGGAAAGAAGGCTCTTCAAAACGGATGGGTCTATCGGGTCAAGGAGGAATCGGATGGAACAAAACGGTACAAGGCCGGACTTGTAGTAAAGGGATTCCAACAGAGATACGGTATTGACTTTACCGATGTTTTTACACCTGTTGTTAAGTTAACCACTATACGTTTAGTGTTAAGCATCGTAGCGGCGGAAAACTTGGAGTTGCAACGGTTAGATGTGAAGACGGCCTTTCGCATGGGGATCTCGAGGAGGAAATTTACATGGTGCAACCGGAGGGATATAGAGGAAATGATCGACAGGGTCCGTCGCCTAAAGAAGAGCTTGTACGGATCGAAACAGGCTCCTCGACGGTGGTACCGAAAATTCGATAATTTCATGTCGGAGATAGGATACTCCGGGTGTAATGCTCGATCATTGTTGCTATGTGAAGAAGTTCGGTAACTCTTTCATTATTTTATCGCTATATGTGGATGACATGCCGATAGCAGGATCGGATGTCAAGGAGATCGAGAGGCTCAAAGATCGCCTATCAAGGAGATTTGATATGAAGGATCTAGGAGAAGCGAGACAGATACTCGGGCATGAAAATCACGAGGGACGAAATGCTTGGTAAACTTTGGCTTTCTCAATTTGATTATATTGAGAAGGTGTTGTGCAGATTTAATATGAATATTGCATAGTCGGTTCGAGTGCCATTGGGAAGCCAGTTCAAGTTGTCCAACAAGGATTTGCCCCAGGATGACTCGGAAAAAGAAAAGATGAGAGTTACGCCGTATGCTTCGGCTATCGGGAGCCTAATGTACGCTATGGTCCGCACCCGCCGGACATAGCACATGCAAGTGGGAGTAGTCGGTCGGTTCATGAGCAATCCCGGAGTGATGCACTGGGAGGCGGTAAAGTGGATCCTTAGGTACCCGAGGGGTACTAAGGACCGGGCATTAGTATTTGGCAGGGTACCCTTACCCCGTCCGGGTATGTCGATGCCGATTTTGCAGGAAGTGATCTTGACAAGAGGAGGAGTACTACCGGGTACGTATTCACTTACGGCGGGACGACCGTATCCCGGATCTCAAAGCCGCAGAAGATAGTCACATTGTCCACAACTGAAGCCGAGTACGTGGCAGTGACGGAGGCGCCCAAGGAGCTCGTTTGGTCGCAAAACTTCTTGAATGAACTTGGGAGACCTCAAGAGGATGTGGCTCTATACAGCGATAGCCAGAGTGCAATCCATCTGGCAAAGAACCCCGCGTTTCACTCGCGAACGAAGCACATCGAGGTTAAGTATCATTTCATCCGGCAACTTCTAGAGAAGAAGATGCTGCAGCTGAAAAAGGTTCGGGGAGATAGGAATCCTGCAGACATGTTGACCAAGGCGGTAACTTTGGAAAAGTTGAAGCTGTGTGTAGCTTCGACTGGCCTTGATGATTAAAACAGGCAGACTTAGCAGAACCAAGAGCAGAGATGAACAGGATGACCAATCTTCAAGAGGATAAACCGAATGTTACAATTCACACAAGCCCGTATGAATACACTCTCTCTACTCTTTCTTCACACTTGGATTGGATACAAATGAGGTTACAAAATGAGGTATTTATAGCCAAACAAATCCTTCTTGAGAGGAAGTTGAGAGGAAGCTCCCTTCCTTTGACCAGGAAGTTGCAAGGAAGTAGCCTTCCTTTGACCAGGAAGTTGCAAGGAAGTAGCCTTCCTTTGACCAGGAACTTACGAGGAAGTTCCCTATCTTTGACCGATCTTTACACCTCAACAAAAGGAAGTAGCAAATATCTTATAATCTACCTGTCTTATCAATTGCCTCTAGTTTGTGAAATGCCTCAACATACTTAAGGTAGTACTATAGTGGCTATAAATCCTATAATACCAACTCCCCTCTAAAATTGTAAAGAACGTTTTTTGACATCTTCAAACATCAAGTTTATGCAATGGGTTATACAACGAGTCCAATAAAGCTGGAAAACATCTTATAATAAGAAACATAATGCTTTTATTATCCATGAGAACCTAAACAACATTATATTTTCCAAATCAAGCAAATCAAACAACTTTTCATTTGTCTCCACAAATTTAAAATCATCAATGAACTTCCAAACATTGTCCCTGTAGGCGAACCCACTAACAAGTTAACCACTTTAGCTCAATTCATACATTGGACATAATAGAACAATCATGTTTTGCCTCACTACTCCTTATGATCTTTCAAAAAATCATCGGTGTATTCCATCTCCTTGTTGAGAAGTGAGTAAAAATTTGAATCATAAACACCAACGACATCAATTGTAACAAGTTCCACATTAGGGAGGTCTCTTTACCAGGAAGGCCTTATAAGGTGAGAGATTCTCCAACCTCTTGAGCTAGCTTTTGAGGGATGGTTCCTCTCCTTAGCCTTATGATTGTTACATTGGTGCTTTCGTTGAGAGTCAACCAACTCGAGAAGGGCTACCCACGGAGGGTTCTGACCGGTAAGAAGACCGAGTGAAGTATCGGGGAGTGCAGCCAGGTATTGTAACAAGTCTCACATTGGGGAAAGTCTCTTTACCAAGGAGGCCTTATAAGGTGAGAGGTTCTCCAACCTCTTGAACTAGCTTTTGAGGGATAGTTCCCCTCCTTAGCCTTATGGTTATTACATCAATCATGTATGACGAACCATTGCCTGATGTGGAAATTAGCCTCTACTCCCCACTCTCATTGTAGGCAACATTTGGAATTTCAAGGTTTCCCACATTTTCCTTCTCTATAAGATTTTCCCAAGCTAATCTCTATCTTCCTTTGAAGAGTTGTTGTAAGGGGCCCCAATGCCCTTATTCCTTAGATGATGTTAATTACATTCAGTAGCATTAGTATATGATTGATTCACGCGATTGCAATAATTTCCCCCCAAGTCAGCTTTTAGAAATTCAACTTCAATAGCCTTGTTCAATTGCCATGGTGAAAGAGTCAAAGGTTGAGGTGCATTCTAGTCAAGTTGTTGAGGTTAGACACAGATGACGACTTTATGTGTTGGTAGTTGTGGTCATGTCAAGGGTATTGTGTGCAAAAAGGATTGTGTTTTGAGGATTCCGTGCTCAAGGTTCAGAAATTGGGATTGAAAAAGGTGTTGTATAGGTTTGGGTCTGAAGAGTTTATGCCCTAGAATTAAGTTGAGGTTTGGATAGCTCGTTTTGTTGTTTTAGTTATATTTTTTTTGGATCTATCTCGGGTCATCCCGTTCTATTTTTCTTTCTCAAGGTTGTTACCTCTTGCACTCCCATAGCACCCCATGTGCATCCAAAAAGACAATATTGCATCTATGGTAAAAGAGGTTTCATATTCACCTTTTTTTAAGCCTTTTAGAATCAGCTTTCCCAAAACTTTCCGGAAGCATTCCAGATTCAACTTTCCAGAATTAAACTTTATGGAATGATAACTTATATTCTAGATTACGTAATCCAAAACTTAAATCATATGTGAAAATCATTTCCGAATTTAGTTTTCTGGAACATTGTCCGGATTGATTTTTTTAGAATTGTAAAATTATGTTTCAGATTTTGTAATCCAAAACTTAAAAAAATTATGTTTCCAAATCCATTCATCAGAAATTTTTTTCGGATTTGTCAATCCAGAATACCCTAGAATATGTTTCCGGATTACTAGTTCCATAAAACTAACAAAGATATTATTGTCTATTCACATAAATATGGGGTGCAGCAAGAAACAACCTTATATAAATGGTTTTTATAAGGGTAGTGGGCCACTTATGGATTGGGTCATCTAATTTTATAATCTGTTTAAACATAGCATCTCCACATTTATTCTTGCATCATCATTATGATCATACAAATCATTATAATCCACAGTATCACTTTTCATCACGATAAATAGAACAGTTAACAAATTTCAAACATACAAAACTTAGGACAACTCAATTTTCACATCTAGCTCAAAATAATAAAAGCTACATACACATAATGCACAACCAGAACAACAGGGCATGCCCCTAACTAATTTACTAACAGTATCTAATGTCAAAGATCTACCGAGGACCACCGCTATTCAACTTTCAAACAAAATAATAGTACTTCATGGAGATAAAAATGTGGTCCAATAAATGCAAAAGCCTTGATCCTTCTTGGGGTTGCAGAGTAATTAATCTCCAATGCAAAAGCAAAAGTAAAAGCATCGGAGAGAAAAAATAATTATGAGAAGCATGCTAATCAATTGTATTTGAGCTGTCATTTTAATTCCTACAACATAGAAGCATATGTATTTCAAATGTCATTTTAATCTCTGCCTCATGAAAGCCATCAATATGCTTAATATGCCAAAATAACTTGTCTAACACTATTTAGTTAAAAAGATAAAATGATTGAACTAACTAAATCAACTGTCTTCAATTTTGAGACAAAAATAGGGGCAATGCTGTATGTTATATAGGGGGAAAAATAAATCAAAGACCAGATAACAGAGTAGAAACATGAAAAAAAAGGGAGAAAAGAAGGGGAAACAGAATATTCACATTCTTTGCTCCACTAATTGTCCGATGTTTACATTGCTTACTCATCGGCCATGGCCAACTCTAAGGCATAGTCATCTCTTTCCTGTAAAAAGTTTCCAGGTTAAAAGTCACATAATCAAAAGACAATATGAGCCATTTCATTCCAAAATAGAAGTTAAAAACAGAACTCACCACTGGTCCTCGGGCAAAATAACGTCCAAATTGAAGCCAATATACCTGTATGTGTAACAAATGATGAGAACAACGAATTTCTTATCTCACAACAAATACAATAATGAATGATAATAACAACAATCATGACAATTTTATTTAGCCTCAAAAGAACTTTATAATAGCAAATTACACATTCTATGATTGGTCGAGATTAAAAGAATTAAAAAAAAATATAAAGAAAAAGAGGGAATAGAACGCTATATAGTAGGGTTCTAGATTGATAGTGGCTATTGTGATGGGATAGAAAATAATGACCCAAAGTTCTTGTTATACTAAAATTAGGCTCAGTCCTAGTGACTATAAGTCCAAGTCTCTAATGAAGTAGACAACTATCTGATTCACAATATATTTTAAAGAATCGAAATATTCTAAAATGTACAAAGATACAAGCAAGATGTTATCAAATATTTGTTTCATACTTGTTAGATATTTTAGATATTATTAGTCACAATATATATATATTTACCATATTTACTTGTATGATTCTTAATTATAAATATATTACCTTATTTGTATTTTAGATACAAGTTAAACCTATATCTAGTTTTTCACTATATTCAGAGCTTAGGTTCTCTTTTTTCGTCACTGCCCCTGCACCTGCCGCCGCCGCCCCTGTCGTTGGAGCCGCCATCGACGATGGAGCTGGAGCTGCCGTTTTCGGAGTTACAATTCAGACCAGCGACCGCACCGTTCTTCTTGTCTCAACTAGGCACCACTGCACCACTAAGATCGCCTCAATCGTAGTCTCCATGCACAATTGAAAGTTTTTAGGATTTTTCTCTCTTTCTTCGTGGCTTCTTCTGCCACCAATATGTCTGACATGTCAGTCAATACTAATTATGTGAATGTGTATTTGTCTATTAATAAGTTAGATGACACTAATTATGCGACTTGGGCATCAGACATTAAACTTTGACTTAAGAGCCAGGAGTTGTTTTTTATATTCCAATCCTTTTTAACGAAATTAAAACTCAATTTGGGATTTCTATTCGAATTTTGCAAAGTGATAATGACCGTAAATATCTTTCTTGTTCTTTTAAACATTTTATGGCTTCTCATGACATTCTTCATCAAACTTCATGTGCTTATACACCTCAACAAAATGGGGTGGTTGAGTGCAAGAATAGACATTTTGTTGAAACAAGTCGCACTCTTTTAATTCATAGTAAGGTTCCTAAACATTTTTTGGGTGATGTTGTTCTTACTGCATGTTATCTTATCAATCGCATGCCATCTTCAGTTCTAAATAACAAAATTCCTCATTCTTTTTTATTTCCTCATGATCCTCTACATCTCTTACCTCTTAAATTTTTTAGGTCTACATGTTTTGTTCATAATTTTAATTCTGGTCTTGATAAGTTATCTCCTAAATCACACAAATGTATTTTTTTAAGATTTACTCGATCACAAAAAGGATGTAAGTGTTTCTTTCCTTCTCTTAACCGTTATTTTATTTCTACAAACGTCACATTTAATGAGTCTTCCTTTTACTTTAAATATCCTTCTTCTCCATGTGTGTCTTCGTATGCTACTGTCAATATTCATGTTATGTGTGATTCTCCTATTAGTCCACCTTCGGATTCTCCTCCGCCACCACCACTTCAGGTGAAGACAACGATCCCAACAACCACCAAATGACTCACGTCTAGTGTGAACTCCTTTGTCTCTTCCGGCTTCAACAACTGAGTTTGACCTTCCAATTGCTCTTCGTAAAGATATACATTCTATTCGTAATTTCTCTCCTTATTATACTGCATTGAGTTACCATAGATTATCTCTACCATTTTATACTTTCCTTTCGTCCATTTCTTCTGTGTCAATTCCCAAATCCGTACATGATGTCTTAGCCCATCCTAGTTGACGTCAGGCCATGCTTGATGAAATTAGTGTTCCTCATAATAGTGAAACTTGGGAACTCCTCCCACTGGGAAATCAGTTGTTGATTGCAGGTGAGTGTTTGCTATTGGAGATTTGCAATATGGGAAGAAATTTATATGGAGCAACCTCCATGCTTTGTTGCTTAGGGGAGTCTTCTGGATTGATACGTCATCTTCACAAATCTTTATATGGCCTAAAACAGTCTTCTAGGGCCTGATTTGAAAAAATTTAGTAATGTTGTTCAATAGTTCGGTATGACTCACAGTGAGACAAATCATTTAATATTTTACCGTCGCTCAAGTGTTGGGTATGTATATTTAATAATATATATTGATGATATTGGTCTTACAGGGAGTGATCACCATGGCATCTCTTAGATGAAGCAACACCTTTGTCACCACTTTCAGACCAAAGATTTTAGCAAACTTAGATACTTTTTGGGGATTGAGGTAGCACAATCCAATAATGGTATTGTTATATCTCAGAGAAAATATGTATTGGATATTTTAGAAGAAACTAGGTTATTGAACTCAAAACCTATTGACACACCTATGGATCCCAATATCAAACTCCTACCTAATTAGGTGAGCCTCTCTCATATATGAGAAGTACATAAGATTAGTTGGAAAATTAAACTATCTTACTGTTACTCATCTTGACATTTCCTTTGCAGTTAGTGTGGTGAGTCAATTTCTTAATTCTCCATGTGCAGATCATTGGAATACAGTCATCTGTATATTAAAGTACATTAAAGGATCTCTTGAAAAAAGTTTGTTATATGATCACAATAACCAGGCTATAGTTGTTTGTTATTCAGATGTTGACTGGGCAGGATCTCCTGATCTACTTCCAGATACCATGTTTCTATTGGAGGTAACTTGATCTTTTAGAAAAGCAAGAAACAAAGTATTTTGACAAGATCTAATGCAGAAACAAAATATAGAGTTATGACCTCATCCACTAGTGAACTTGTTTGGCTTAAACAATTACTTAAAGAGTTGAAATTTGGAAATGTCACCCAAATGACACTTATACGTGACAATCAGACTGCTCTTCATATTAACTCTAAATTAATCTTTCATGAAAAGGACCAAGCACATTAAAGTTGACTATTATTTTGTTTGAGAAAATATTATATCTGGAGACATTAAGACCGAGTTTATTAACTTAAGTGAACAGTTAGCAGATATTTTCACCAAATCTTTACGGGGACCTATAATTGATTATATTTGTAACAAGCTTAGTACATATGATTTACATGCATCAGCTTGAGGAGGAGTGTTAGATATTTTAGATATTATTAGTGTTAGATATTATTAGTTACAATATATGTATTTACCATATTTACTTGTATGACTCTTAATTATAAATATATTATTACCCTATGTGTATTTTAGATATAAGGGAAATTAACCTTATACCTAATTTTTCACTATATTCAACAATACTGTAAGACTCTCCCTCCCAGTTTAAGCTTACTGCAAATAAACACTTTAAAGGAAAATAACACAAATATAAAGCTTTCTCAATAAAACATAGATGGAGAAACAACTCAAATGATGCTATAGGTGCAAAGGAGATGAACACTGCTAGAGAGGTAACCAAGTGAGACAACTGACATCATACAACTGAAGAAAGGATATTATATACCAAGGAAGAAAAGACTTCCTGGAAAGAGGCTCAGCAGAAATTTCTGGCAAGCTAAAAGATGGAATTCATACCCCAAGAAAGAGTGATGGAATTCACTAACTTCCATTGCAATAGTTACTAGGGATCTACAACATATACAAGTTTGGGTAACTTTTGAAACGATTTTAGAACCAACCCTCGGATACCTACAATCTGGATAGCTCTGCCTACAATACACTAACTTCTATTGCAATAGTTACTAGGGATCTACAACATATACTAGTTTGGGTAACTTTCGAAATGATTTTAGAACCAACCCTCTGATACCTACAAATCTGGATAGCTCTGCCTACATTACACAAGTAAGGAAAATAAACACCATAGCTAAATAAGGAAGAATCAGAATCCTAAAAAGTATGTGTTACAATAGTTCCTATATCAGAGTAAATAACAAATCTACAATAACTCCTAATTGAATTTAATAATTGACCAGATTCAACAATAATATTCACAGGAAATCATACACAAGAAGAAAGCTTCTCCAAGTTCAAGAATAGAATTTGGAAGATTCATACATGATAATTTTTTTTGAGTCATGATGACATTGACAAAAGGTATCCACAGGATTTGCTGATAACTACTCCTCATCAGAGAATCTAGCTAACTATTTTTAATGTGGTCTCTCCTCTCTACCATATTTTTCAATTTACAAGGACCAAGGCTTGAGCCCAAGATCTCTCTTAAGGGATACAACCTCATTCCAGTTCGATCATCAACATGTAGCTAATTAAGAAGATAATTTGAGAGACCCAATAAAATTGGCAATTGGATCCAGGAATTATGCGAGTCAAAAAGTAAAAAAATCAATATTAGGTCACCATTTAAATGATAGTAAATGGGAAACGTCACCTTCGATATAATTCTCATGGAAAATAAGCTATCACTGAAATGATGGTGAAATACAGTGACCAAACAAACACCAGCTTTGTGGTCAAAATTGGGCACATGTCTTAATTCTCACTCTCACTAGCTGAGGATAATATAGATACTGAGTTAAATTGATATGGTGCATTATGATGTGATACAAAATACCAACTCCAACGACCTTTTCATACTAATAATAACATCAAGTACTAGTGAGTACTCTAGTCCATTGATACAATAACAATACTAACACTAATAAATCAGGAAATAACTCCATTGCTTACTCGATAGATAATTTATTATGGTATTATTCTAAAGATCAAATAAAAATTATTCAATATTAGAAGATATAGTATAGATATTATGAGACATATATTATCAATATTCTAGTAATACCAAAGGAGAAAAAAAAAATAATCCCCATAGTTGATCTGATTGGCATCTATTCAAGCAGGTATCGCAAGATGTTTCAAACTATGATTGTAGTCTTGCCCTTTACCTCATCTTCATCTTGAGTTTCCACTTCAACATCAGAGGTTGGGAAGCCCACACAAAGAAGTGCATAACCCTGAAATGCAATTAAAAATTTCACATACTTGCCCAGCCTGGCAGTAAAAGACAGTAGAACTTTTAATAACAACAATAACAATGATAATTATGATGATGATATATTATTATAACATTTTCCCTAATGTTGTCAACTAGTTAACTTATATTTGAGGGAAAGGAACGTTTATGGCAAATGGCACCAAACTAACCATAAGCTGGAAAACATCTATGTTCTTCTGTATGTATATCTATTTAATCAAATATATTCATCTATGCAAGAGCTCTGGAATAGAAACCCTGACCAAGAAAAAAAAATGTAAACTATGCATTCAATGACAGCAGTAATGCACTAGAACGAAGAGTCAAATAGGTGTACTTCTAAGTTTAAACTTATACCCTTATTTTGAATAAGTCAATTGTCATTGTTCTTTAGTTTACAGGAATGAACCGGAAAAGTCATATACGCACTTTTTGGCGTTTTCTGAAAATTATAGTGCAAATATTTTTGTGCAGTCTAATATATAGGAAAAGGCATCCCATTAATAGAATGATTTGTGTATGTAGATTGTTTCATTGTTATTAATGTTGATTTTTATTTTGGTTTTGAATCATAATTACAAATTAAAAAAATAATTAAAAGAAAATAGTATGTACTAGTTCATTGCATTGCATTGGCACTATGAAAAAAGATAAAACTTTCAATGTCTTCTTATTTGCTAAGGGAAGAAGGTAAAGTTATTCACAGACATCAGACTAATGGGTTTGTAGTTGGCATCAGAAAACATGAACAAACTATACCAACAATTCATCCTCCTGTCTTCTGTCTAGTAACATGCACAAACTTCATAGTAGAACGGTACAACAGAGAGATAGAGTAGAGAGAAACTAACAAAAATTATAACTAATAATATGTCTAGAGAGGTACAGCTTATTGCTATTTATGGACTTAATAAAATAAGGATGGGGAAATGTTGATTATTGGGTATACCATAAGAAAATTGAGCATGTTGAAATTTGACAGGTACTTCACAAGTTGAAATTACCAATTCAAGCATGTAATAATAATAATAATAAAACAAAAAATAAAAAATAAAAAAACCATAAACATGGATTATAGATAGCTACACGTGCCTTGTCCTTCAATTCAGCAGATATCCCAAGTGCCTCTGGTTGCCTAATCTGTCCATTCTTTATACGTACAGCACAGCTTGTACAACAACCTGCAACAAAAGGTTTCAAAGAAGCAAGCACGATCAAGAAGCTAGCAATAGGATCACAAATCCAACAGATTTCAATCACAATGGCAGTAGCAGCAGCAGAGAGAACTAGTGTCAATAATTCATAGCATTCGTCTACAAAGACAAACTTCACCAGAGTAAACAATTACCATTCTTTTTGTTCCCAATAAGAGGAAAACAAAAAAAATCATACTAGTTTAAAGTAAATAAAACCCAAGAGAAAATAGAATCTACAATCAGCAATGACCATTGGTTCATAATAGGTTCGTTATTCTTCCAATGCCTTCCAAAAACCTTATGAAGGCTGCGGAACTATTTAAATAAAATTCTTCACAAGCACTTTTAGAAGAAAAATTTAAATTAGTTTCTCCATAAGGTAAAATTAGTTTTATCCATAAGTTAATTTATAGAAACTCTTTTATATAGTTTATCTACATTTCATTTTTTTAGTCTTATTTTTCTCTCCTAGTGTGTTTATGGAAAAATTCATCCAAATAGACCCTAACACGCGCTTATAGATCTGATTGGAACCAATTTGGAAAGTATATCAACTCCCAAGGGCATGGTAAAAATGTCAAATTTGGCACTAGAACATCCCTATTTGATTGTTACATGACGAGTTATGCAGATCTTAAACATAATCAAGATAATGAAACCCCGTAAAATCTAAAAGTCTTCAATTCCAGTTCTATCAAATGATAAATGGTGAAATATTAAAACTAAACTAGAAAATGGACCGCCTAAGAACATCGATGCACATGCAGTAAAGCAGCAAAAATACAAGATAACATAGCAATGAATGAGTGTGCAAGCGTGAATTTTCTATTGGGATTCCTGTGTAGAAAATATTATTTCTCAAAAGCAAAGGAAATACTCATGAAGAATTTAATTCCTGTGATCTATATATAGAGCTAGTGTAATTCAAAATTCAAACACTAACAATATCCTAATCTTAAAATCAAATAAATAGCGTTTAAAGTTAAACAGAATCCTAAAGATTTAAAAACAAATTGACAATCCTAATAATAAAAGCCTCCTAAAGATTTGAAATATGAATAACAAATTACTAAAAAAAACTAAATGATCCATTTTCAAACTAAAGATATTTGGGCATTTTTTTCAACTTGCTTCTGTGAGAGAAAATAACTTCTAATTATAAACAAATTGGATAAAAGCAAATACCGTGCCTGCAGGCGAACGGAAGGGTAATATTCTGGGACTCGGCAGTGTGTAATATATACTGGTCCTGCATTTCATATATCATAGTAACCCTCACAAATTTTCAAAAGTATTAAAAAAAAATCAAACTAGGATCCCTATTTTTTTTCAGCTGAATCACAGAAACAGAAATCAATATTTAATAGTGATAGAAAATAAAAAGAATGAGATACAACATTAATTGCATGCAATTGCAACAACGGAAATGGTGAAGCGTGAAGGATGATACCTCAGGTACGACGAACTCGTGAACGATTCCTCTTTGCCTGTCGTGGACTTTCACCTTATGAGTGGGAGCATCAACAGACGGAAACTGGAAATCGGTTCCGCCGGTCCGCACCACCGCCGTCTGGAGCTCCGCCGTCACCGTGATGGCTCTGCGGCGGATAATGGAAGGGAATGATTGCTGTTGCTTGGGAAGTAGAATACCAGGAATCGGAAGAAGGGGAAGTGCCATGTTTTTCTTCTTCTTAGCGGTGACGCTACACTCACAGACAGAGGGATAACGAGAGAGTAAGGTGAGGAACAATACGCGCGTTCTCCACCAACCGTTAGATTCCCTTCCAATCAGTCCTCAACACGTGTACGGTCACTAAAACTCCATTATGGGCTTCACGACTTCAAACCAGTGTTATATCAGGAAACATCCTAGTTTTAGTTGAAACATTTTATAAAATAAAGATATATTTGATTTGTGATTATCTCATTTAATTTTTGTATTAGTACTAGATTTCATGTAATTTTTTTAATTGAGAAATTATAGTTAAATTTGAATAATTTTGTGCAGATTAAAAAGAAAAATAAATTAGATTTGAATAACGCATTTATTTAGTTGCTGTGATGAAAAACTAAATGTAGTATTTTTTTTTATTTGAAAGGGCACTCAATTTTATTCCAATGCAAATTAAAAGGAGATTTTTTATTATTATTATTTCGTAAATTTGAAGGAGAATAGTTATTTAGTTACATGAACATAATTTATCTCATTTAACTAATGTTATTGAAAATTCATAATAATTATCTAGACCTAATTTTCTTTTACTTTAATTTGTTCCTTAATCTTATGAATAAATTCTTTCTTATTCGACTCCTTACAGACATTTTTTTAAAATTTATACACATACATCGTTAATTTTTTATTGATATCCATATAAATATATTATTTTATTTTGCATTTCGAGATGCTAATGTGACCTTTTTTATTAACTTAGCATTAAGAACAATTTTCAAAAGAAATGATTGAAAAACAAAATAAAAAAATGAAGGACAAAAAAAATAACTCTATTTATCAGAGGGAAAAAGTTAATTAAGCCTTAAATGAGTGATAAGATAATTGTGTAACATTATTGGTATATTTGAATTAAAATGATATAATAATTTTGCAAAAAGTATTCCCATTGGATAGTGTAGGTAAGTCTGTAACCGACAATGTATGCATCTAATATATCTGGTTTTGTGTGCACGTGGCAGCCTGTTGATAGGAATAGCTCTGCATGTTGAACAAGTGGCACGGTGGGTAGCGTGTCATGCTCTTTTCTTGTCTTCACATGGTCTGCCTCTCACCTTTCTTTCTCATATAAATAAATCCTCCGCCACGTTCAGTTTTCTGCTCAAATCGATGAACTTGAACTCGTTGATAGTAAAGAGAGATAAGTCATAGAGACAGACAAAACAGAGATGCAATCCTCAAAGGAGAAGCTGAAAAACATGGCCAGTGCTGCCAAGGAACAAGTCGACGTCTATAAAGCCAAAATAGACGAAAAGGTATGCTCTTGAGCTTTTCCATCTGCTTTGTTCCGTGATAGTGTCTATCAACCGGCGTATGCATTGATGTCATTCAGTTACAAACTCTTACGTAAGGGTTGAGTTGTGCAGGCGGAAAAAGCAACGGCAAGAACAGAAGAGGAGAAAGCGATAGCTCATGAGCGCGCAAAGGCAAACGAGGCTAAAGCAAAGATGGAACTGCATGAAGCTAAAGCCAGGCATGCTGCAGAGAAGCTTGGCACCAAACAATCACATTATTATGACCACCACGAGCATCCCTTAGTAGGAACTCAGACTCATAACCAGCAAGGGCACCAGCCTCTTGGGGCCGTTCCCATGCCCGGGGCCACTTATCCATCACATCCACTAGGAGGAAACCTACCCAGAAACAAACATCTATAGATCTGGCGTTTAGTAGTCATCTCTTCTCTTGTTCTACTACTAGCCGTTTCTCTAGCAGACTTCAAATAAAAAGGGTCTGATTTTACTCAGAATCCTTCGATGTATATTTGATAATGGCTTTGATTTCAGTTATATGTATCCATCTACCTTTGAAGAATTCCAGTGGCATATACAGGTGTTATATGCAGGTGTTACTTTGAAATAAAAAGGGTCTGATTTTACTCAGAATCCTTCGATGTATATTTGATAATGGCTTTGATTTCAGTTATATGTATCCATCTACCTTTGAAGAATTCCAGTGGCATATACAGGTGTTATATGCAGGTGTTACTTTGAATAATCATAAGCATTACATACAAGTAAAGCAACTTGAACCGTTGTCAAGTTCTAATAGGGGGTGGCTAGGCCCGAGGCCAAAATATTTGTGTCTTCGTCCGGTTACAGACATTCATTAATATAATTTAAATTTTAAAAATATATTTTTTATTTTAATTTAATTTTAATATTTTTAATTAATTTAATAAGATATATTAATTATTTTTTAATTAGAAAAAAATATGGTCCGTAATTTACTATTATGTTATAAATGATATTATGTAATAATAATAAAAGAAAAGATGAAAAAGAAGAATAAAAAAGATGAAAAAGAAGAATAAATAAATGATATTATTATGTAATAATAAAAATGATAATTTTGTACTGCGTATCATTTATTCATACCCTAATCTCACCTGTTTCAAACAATCTAGTCTACACTGGTGTTTTTAACTGAACTGAAAATAATTTTAAAAATTATTCATAAATTACATTTCTTCCAGCTGCTTAAAGTTAAGAATGACAGCACTTGATTGGATTGGACTGAGAGAATTCAGATTAAAGAAACACTATATAATTTTTTTCTGCGAAAACTAAGTTGTTGTCATGCCGAACCGGAACCCCGCATTCGTATGACGAGAATTAAGAGGACTTCCTACTGGTCAATCGTTTCATTGTTCATTTCCTTGCAATATTAAGTACCCAAAAAAAATCCTAAAATAAACTGAAATAATGCAATGAAACATCACTCGATAAATTTATCATTACAATAAATCAATGCTTATAAAAAATATAACAAAATACAAAGCGTACGAGAGAACAATCAATTACAGGTTCCAATAACAAGCTGGCCTTTTAGAACAAAAATATTAAAACTGATTTTCACACAAAGAATCATACTGACAGCACATTGAATAACGCCTGAACCTTTCATTATATCTTAATATTTGATTAGAAACTAGGATAACTTCCCTGAACTGCCCTCATTCCGGATTTTGCTTCAATCTCCATCCATTGTGTCTAGCACCTAATCTCGTAAGATCCTGCTTTTGTAATATAACGAACCCACTCAACGGTATTGTACCCGCTCTTCTCCCACACCTGCAGAGAGTAATTCAAGACGACAGAACCACTTAGTTGTGAAAGAATACACGAAAAAAATTGTAGGGATGGATACCTTGAGGAAACGGACACGTAAACCAGATGCTGTGAACATGGGAACCTGTCTCAAGAGAACAAATACGTCCCATCAAGCTCGGCCAAAAAGAGGGGGAAAGGAAACTTAAAACAAAAATAAATCATTATTTTCAATCAATGCAGTTGGACATCTGACGAAGGAACGTGATTGTAATCAGTGTCTAATTGCCATAAATTTTTCCTAGAGACAGACAAAAGCGGACCCTTAAGTTAGTTTATCATCAGAAAGACACTTTTTCCTTCAACTAACCCGGAAACAACTACTTTCCTTGTAACAGCTTGAAAATATATGGTAAGGATAAACAAAATCACAAGATGTCAAAGTTCCCAAAATTAAATTTTAAAGCAACATTTAAACTAAAAATAAATTATTGAAACAACCACTGATGATTGAATAACACACCTGAAACTCCATCTGAATTGGTGGTCTAGTCCAAGATTTCTTTTCTGTTGTTGTCGAAATAAGTTCAACCTCTGCATTTAAGGTTGACTCAGTTTGCCCAGGGAACTTTCTAATCCTAGAAATAAAGAAAAAGGAAGCAATAATTATATTAGAATGGCAAGTCTACTATAATGAAAATGAAAAACACTAAAAACCTAGAGTATAAAAAGAAAAAAGAGTGGGGTGCAGAGGGGAAGAGTAACAATTGATTCATATGTAGATACACTTTGGCTTTTGGCCTAAAAGAATAATGAATCATACCCACCAATAACTTTAAAAGGTAATTCGAATTTATAGTTCAAATAATAATCATAATAAAGAAACTTACTTCCAAACCAAAGAGTCGATAGAGGCATTGTATTTTGCTCGGCCAGATGTAACGGTGAAATTTGTTTTTGCTGTTTGTTTTGGCACAGGAATCTTGACTACAACCCCAAGTGCAAACATTTTTGCACCAAACACACTCTTTACCTGAAAAATATGTACTGAAAAAAATTAAAGAACAAGTAGAGTATGGCATATCATCAAGAAAAAGGGGATGTCCCACATGTAATTCAAACCTTAACGTTCACTTCTATCCGTGATCGACCAAGTTCCTTGATGGTAGGCAATACTTTGAAGGGAAGATTAACTCCCTCAGTTATACGATACCTGCATAGATATTACTGTATTAGCTAATATTAAACACAAACCGGTGGAAATTTTAGAATCATTAATGGTTAAACATGATAAGTTTGAAGGACAAAGACGGAAGTACGAACAATAAGGAACATATTTGTTGTTCATTTCAGAAATTAGAAAGCAAGAGATAGGATTGAAAGAATAGAACCTACTTCATTAGTTCAAATTCACCATCAGGTGGTACAAAACTGACTGTCTTCTCTGAGTTGAACCTTGTCAAATTTACACATTGATGAAAAGTGACATCATCAAGCTCGATACTTTTACCACTGCAACATAGATTTGTTTACAAGAGGGAGGAAAGTAATTAGAATGGTGAAAGAGACCCAACAAGGGATAAAATACCCTCCAAGTACAGCATACAGAATAAGAACTATAATAGAAAAAACAAGAAAACTAGCACCCATTTAACCCAAATCATTTTCAATGCTAACATCAGGAGAACATAAGAAACGTGTTTCAAATAAAGCAAAAAAAAAAATCATTGGCGGCCAAAAGGGGGAAATAGAAGGCTACCTTTTAGTAGGACGGGATTTAAGTTGTGCTTCTTTCTCAAGACCAATCTTGTCATTCAAACCCAACTTTAAATCGGGCATTCCAGAAAGAAAGCATTTCATAAGAATCTTCCCAGTGACATCACAACGCAGAACACTACCTAAATTCACAAACTAGTTAGAAGGAAGGGAATCTAGCAAATATCAATATGGAGAAAAAATGAAATTCACAGCCCACCTTTCGAAGACATAAGAAGATTTACACTTTCCACAATATCCAGAAAGACCTGAAATAGTTCAATGTTAAAATAGCACAAATTATATGGCAACGATTGTATGTAATAATGTAAACAATAATAGATGTGACACTACCTCATTCTTTCTGTACACAAGACCTTCTCTCCGCCAACCAACAGCACCGGTAACTTGTAAAGTTGCATTTGGAACAGGTCTGTCTGTGAGCTTTTATTCGGATTTAAACAGAATATAGTCAGAAAAAGATATAATGGAATAAAAACCCAACAGGTAAACATATTAGGTTAAAAGTAAAAATATACAGATAGATGTTGCACAACTCCGAATTGATTTTAAAGACAGAAGTTAAAAATTTGCATTAACATCATGTTGAGAAGAGGTGTAGGTAAAGTGCCACAAAAAAAAACTTGATGTAATATGACATCACTGATGTAAGAGAAAGCCCGACCACTGTCTATAGATATAACTAATGCCTCATCAATCAGAAACAATGAAGAAAAGATGAGCTTCTAGCAGAAAAAAACAGTTTATTTGTTCCTTTTCAAATGTGAAGCAATTACAAAACATTTTAAAGTCTGCAACAATGTCAACTTAAGTAATATGCCTTTAGCAAAAAGAAGCGCATCATGTTGTGGTGACATGTGTCACAGACGAGATTAATTATGAAACTCAAAATCTAGTAAATTTCCCAACGGGGAGGTCGACAACTAGATCATCAACTTAAGTGGCCAACCTATAGATAGCAATTTGGCCTGAGGAAATTATCTGTTCACCTTTGGAATAACCGAGGTGGTGCATTTCCATCTTTTCAACTATAACATCTAGGGAATGACGAGAAGCAGAGAAGTTTCGAAAAAGGGAAATATATTACTGGTATGGAGCAAATACCTTGCATATCATTTAATATTTTGGTATTTTCACTTATTCATACATCTATGTGGTACTATCTGAGATTTATTTTATTTTATTTTCTCATGTTAACATCTCCATGTTTTCTCCTATCAGTGTCCTTACTTCATGGTACCTACTAGCAAAAATAGTGTTTACTGGTGGTATTTTCAAATGTTGATGATATTGAGAAAATGTCCTGCATATTATTTTATGTCTGGCATTTCCATATATTCATACATCTATGAGGTACTCTCTGATTTTTTTTCTGTCAAGTTAACTATGTTTTCTCCTATCATGTCCATATTTGTGGCCTTACTTCATACTAGCTACTAGCAAAGCAACAACAGTATTTACTGGCTAACCTTGGATAAAAATGGGGAACGCACTCCTTCCTGGGTGATATAAAGCTTCAAGATCTCTGGTGAAAGATTTTGTGGGTAACCAAAGTCCATAATTTCTGCAAAAAAAGTAGTTAATAACTATTCACCTATTCAGATGACAAGTATTTTTTTATATCAAAGGATTTACTCTGGCATTCAAAACTGAACAAATTTTGACTTTGGCAAAATATATTGTTTATCATTTCAATAAAGATAGAATAGATCCACAGTACAACTCACCTAATAGTTATCAAGCAAGAGCTTTTATTACAGTTGCAAATACGCAAGCACAATCAAAACCATGCTCACTACGATTCCAAAGAAAAAGCTAGTTTACTGCTTTTTAAGCACACTAATTTTCATTGAAGTCATGACAATCATGTTGGTCAAGATGTTGGGACTTGAGACCAAGATTTAGAGCTTGCCAAAGGCATCGAGAGAAAGGAACCCAGTATATCCTTTCCTTTGTTTGGTCGCATCATTGCAAATTGTCACCATGTATAAATGTGTGTTTTTTATATTAGCCTCAGATAAAAGTCTGGTTATGGTAGTTATGTATATAATTTAATTTATATTTTAATGAAAAGAATATCATTAAAATATACTCTAATTTCTAAGATGCACAATCATACAAAAGTATCCACATCTTCTGAATCGGTACCAAATTTGACATGTATAACTCCTCACCTAAAGAAACTTAAGGCAGATGTAACTTTGCTACAGTATCCTCTTATAATTTCTGAAAGTTACAAATTACAGGAAACTAAAACCCTGTGCTGAGTTTCAAGTCTAAAAAATAACAGACAGTATACAAAAATATCAAAGCAAGATCAACAGTTAGTTAATTTTCTGTATAAATTACATACCATCAAGGAGCTCATAAATGAGTACAAAGTTATTGCGAATTGCATCCTCATCAAAAGCTCCACCAAAATAAGATCGGAAGAGTGCAACAGCCTGTAAATAAAAATAAAAATAAAAGGTACAATTATCAACCACCACAAAGCACAAATATCGTTTTTCTAATCACATCAGAAGTAAAACTTTCAGAGAAACCATTCAAAAAGATCTATAAGGTAGGGCTTGTGTGCTTAATTTGTTGGCAGATTGAACTCTTAAGTGACTCTCTTAATGATATTTGAAAGGGTTTAGTTACTGTCATTACTGATCATAAGTTAACATCTCCAAGATTTATTATTGTCAATTGACCTAAATGAACTCAGCATTGCTGAAGTCAATCCAAAGATAAACAACTAGAAATTAACAAATACGTAAAATTACTTTATAGCTCTGCACTAACTCTCTTACTGGCAGAATTTATATCTAACTAATGAAACTGAAACTTATAGCAGGACTTTTACTAGGACATCTGCACCAATGCTATACTTCATTCCTATGTTTGTATCATTTGACCTTAACACCTGTAATTAGTGCTCACCATTTCTTATTAATTGAGAAACTTTCTGTGATGTGACAATACGATGGAATGTAATAAAAGCATTGCTAAAATAAATGTCAATATCAAAGTAATTGTTTTTCTGCAATACAGAGCAGTGCGCTTAGGACGAAGGTCCTTTATAGGGGAAAAATTCAATTAGTCAACCGCCTTGAATTTTAAAAGACCGCTCAGATTATCATAATTCAGGTCATACTACCAGCATATCCAGAAACTAGCAACTACTCTACTACCACCTACAACTGAAGGGTCACAAGCTCCAGGTATAAATATATGTGAAAATTACATGATGAAGAATGAAGTGATTTAAGAAATAAACATTGAGAGCACAAAAAATCCCTGTGTGAATTGTGAAGCCAAAAAATAAACACTGCCAAACCCTAATTACTCTTTATGACCATTAGCAGTCGTACAAATCTGAAGTCAAGTCCGGCAAGGCTCAGCAGTTATCCATGCTCCTCCACTAAATTCATGGTAGCTTCAAGTTCTTTTTTCAACAATCCATACATTATAATTGGGGCTAAGTAATAGAATTTAAAAGGTTCCTTCCATCTTGTTAAGTAGAAGTTAACACCAAAGAATCATTTAAAAAAACATTAACAACAACCAAAACAGCAATAATTATAAGCCTTCATCTCAACAAAGCCCCAGCAAAGGCCATATAAGCCTTCATCTCAGCAATAACTATAAGAGAGAGTCATGCACAAGCAGCACCCCAACAAAGCCTTCATCTCAAATAAAGGTAAATTAAGGTAAGGTGATGGAGTACCTCAACAACGAACTTGAAAGCGCAAGCCACATTGGCGTTATTGCTGACAACAATGACAATGTAGACATTGCCGATCCTCATGTAAAAGAAAGAGCATCCACCAATCTGCCTTACAGGGCAAGTGCCAAGCTCCTTCGTTTGCATAATATGAGTCCTAAAAGCATCCACCATATTTCCCCTGCAACGAAATCACCACACAACCCTAGCTAAGTCAATTGTTTCAAATACGAAACCATGATATAATCGCTGCATACAATAAAACAAGCTACTATCAAAATGAGCGTAACAGTAGAAGAAAGAACCTATATACGAATTGGTGAAAACGTGAAAAAAGTCGAAGAAAGTGTACCCGACATCGTCGCGATATAGGCGGTTGATGAGAACGTCTCCGCGGAGGTTGAGGAAGTATATGGCGGAAGCGGCAACCGGCATATCCGGTCCACTTTATCGGAAGATTGATCGGAGACTATTGAATACGGTGGTTTCCGCCGCGGATCTGTGGTTTCAAGACGGAGCAGCTATCAACGGAAGACGTCGTCGCCGATTTGGTGGATTGGATTCGTTCGGACACCGGAGAAGGTAGTGGGTGAATTTGACTATTCAGAATGGCTCACTGTGAATTGAAATTTGGGAAAATAACACACACGCACACAGAAAACATATAAGATTGAAAAAACAAATGAAAAATAACACTACAAAAATTTAAAAGTAAATTATTTTGTTTAGTTTAATAATTAACAACGTATAAAAAAAACTAAGCTTAAACATTAAAATATTTATAAGTAAAATAATTATATATAATTTATCTGAAGTTTTTAATATATTATAAAGTCATTTTACATGATTTTATGAATATATATTATTTTAAAAGGGTGATTACATATAATTTTCAGTTTGCATGAAATAATAAATAATTTTATGTATTTGTCATTTCATTGGTAAAGAATGATTAATAATAGAATACATTTAACATGCATACCGTACGATTAAAAAATTTAAATGATGTAAGAATAGGAAAAAAAACGGAATATTATTATCGTTATTATGTTACATTATAATAAGTCATTTTAAAATATAAATATATTTAATAATTTTATTAATTTTGTTTTTAAATAAACATTATTATTTGTGATATATTGAAATATAAATAAAATTACAATATTCTAAAGTTACAGTTATTATATTAATAATATATATATATATATTAAAACTAAATTATTAGCATTTAAATATTTTTAAAACAAAATACTACACTAAAAGTAAATTATTGAAAGAAATATAAAGTAAGAATAATGTTTGAAATAATAGAAGTCACAATTTATAGTATATTAAAAAAATAATGTAACAATATCAAATAATAAAATGTAGTATTTTAGAATTCTATCTAAAATATTTCCATTTTTTTAATATATGAATTTATCTTAATTATTTTTATTAATACCCTTTCTTGTCTGTAATAGTCATTCTAAGGGCTTTTTCACCAAGTCGGAAAAATAGTTTAATTTTTATAATTTTAATACATTTTAAATGGGTTACTTATTATACCCTTTGTTTTATCTTTATTTTAATGGGTATACATGAGATTACATTTTTCTGCTCTGTTATCATAATTAAATTGTCATTCTCTTACTTTTTTACACTCTTTATTAATTATGATAATTTTTATAAAGCAATAAGACATAAATTCCAAAAGTTTAAAGATTTAATCAAATTTAATAAAATAATATTTTAAATAATATGTTAAATATAAAATAAGTTCTTAAGTAATTACAAAATCCTAGTAAAACGCTATTACCGTTTTAATAAATTATACTAAAAATTAAAAACATAAAATGTAATAAGTAGTAGAAGATCGATAGTTGTAAGAGTGAGAGGAAAATCCACTAAAATAATTATTATGAAAAAGCTTTCGTAACTTCATGAGATAAATAAAAAAATAAAAAATAATATACCTAGAAAAAATATCTCTTAACAAAATTTTCAAACTTGTTTAAAAAAATATCAAACCTGCATAAATCAAAAAGTTTGATCATTTTTTTAGACTTTATATTAATTTAAAAGAATTTTAATTTTTTAATAAGATATTAGTTTTCAATTAAATCCCTTGAACTGACCAATCCATTCTTGACAACCTAACTAGTACAAAATAATGTACTTTCATTTTAAGAAGAGTAATAAATTTTTTGAAGTCTTCCTTAAACTTTCATTTGAAAAATTTTACAATCAAAATATTGCATTTAAAAATTGATATCAAAATGTGCTATGGTAAATAATGTTTCCAAATTTTTTTTCTTACTTTTGAAAAATTATTATATATCAAAATTCATAAATATGATATATATATATATAGAGAGAGATTTCACTAATTGACCTATGTTTAAAGAATCATGATTCATAAACATCTGAATTTTAAAATAATATAATATATTTAATATCAAAAATGGATGGCAATAGTATGCAGGTATAAAGAAAGGTGATAAGCATTGTTACAGTGGAATTTCTACTCAATAGCCAGATTTAAATATTTAGGACAGAAAATCATTCTACCCTCCATCTCTGTTCTTTTACATCCTCCATAAACATCATCCCATAGCCAATGTTGATTTGATTTAAACACATATTTACGCAGTGATATTATAGAGACAACACTTATGATTCTCATGTTTTAAGTTATTTTTTTACATCATTATTCTTGTTGTGGCATTTGACTTGCATAAACGGGTGGGTGATAAGAACAACATTCGTTACATCATTTTCAATTTTTATGATAACTATTGAACACATTTAGAACAAGTACAAAGAAAATGAAAAGCACTAAAGAAGATAAAAAAAATTATATACATAGTATTGAAATTGATATTGCTCAAATTTAAGAAAATCTTTTAGGTCAAATGTATGTTATGCTTTAAATAATAAAAAGTTCAACTTAGTTGCTTAGATTTTTAAAATGACGTATCATTTAGTTATTCAAATGTAATAAAGTCAATTTTGAAAGAAATATATTATGAAGGTCAATTTGTTTTTCAATACTTGAAAAAAAAATTATATATATATATATATATATATATATATATATATATTTAAAAGTCACTTATACTATTATACATATTGATGATAAATAATTTTATGTGACAAAATGAAAAATATTATTTGGTGTGTCATGAGGTAATCAATAATCAACTTGTAAAAGATATAGTGTTAATGAAAAAATATATTTTTAGTTGTTCTAACTTGTGATTAAGATTTGATTAAAAAAAATTATGGATTTTTTCTATTTGTTGCTCAAGAGACTATGTTGCAATATCAAATACTAACGGAATTACATAATGGAGACAAATTTATATTAACCAAAACTATCGAATTTCTTCGGACAGTTATTATATCATTTTATAAATAATAATTTTTTAGATAAACCCGAAATATGAGTTTTGAAAACTGCTACTACTTGAACCCACCTAATATTAGGATGATGCATGTGATAACAAAATACATGAAAGTATTATATTAACAACCATGAAGCACACTTGTTTCTAAAACTAGTTTACTGTCAAAAACATGTATAAGGTAGTACCTAATTCTGGTCACTCTAAATGCATTAGTCAATTTGTTCTTTTTCATTCCATTCATAAGACATACATTACTAACTTATTTATCATGCTTTAATGCATCCAGAGAATAAAAGATTGTATGAACTATATTCGAAGTTTCGTTACAATTTTTCCTTTTAACACACAGAGAAGATTAATTCGACTCTTGTTCACAATTTAATTAAATTTCGTTTATAAGTACTTCTTATTTAAACTGTAGAATAGTTGGAATTCATCTTGAAGTATAATTGATGAATTAAGTATTATAATGCAAAATACAATTTTAAAAAAATATATCCCCTGGGAACTATAAAAATGAAGACTTTGACCATGATTTTATTTGTAGTTGACATATAATTACCACAGTTCTGGTAGTCTTATCTATATTGGAACTATAAGACTTGTGGATTTAAAACTAAGGGTGTTAAGGTAAATTTATAAATTTTATATATATAGACAGACATTAATCACAATTATCTTTAGTTTACATGATTTTGATGTTAAAAGAAATCACAAATCCTATGTTTCAGAGCGTATTAGAATAAAATAATATTGAGATAATGTTTCAATTTAATTAATAAAAAAATGGCAGGATCTTACAAAATATTACATCATCATGATCTTTAAAAAAGAAAACTTGTTAATTATAAAAATAAATAAACATACTCAAACTATCTAAACAAAATAAAAAGAGAACAAATATTACTAATAATAACTTTAATGTTTTTTAAACTCCTTCTCATTAATGTTATAATCTTTCACACAAACTTGCTAAAACAATAATATTGACATTGTCTTATTTGTAGAATTTTTTTTGTTTAAATAATGATGTTTAGTATAAATATATATAATTTGTATACATCATATTTAAAATATAAAGACCATAAATGAATACGAGTGTCTTCAAATTTTAATTATTTCTACCAAATTTCTAATGTCAACAAGTTCTTTAAATAACTAATTAATTTTTCAATTTTGTTTAACGTTGGAAGTGATATGTTTTTTAATTATTATATATTTTTTGTTCATTTCACCTCTTTTATTATTTTATTTTTCTGTCAAAACTTACATGCAAATCTTTTGTAAACATTCTTGGTTCTTTAATTAAAAACTTTATAAAGTTTAAACATTTTTTACATTCTAACGTCACCACGTCATTATAACTTTTTGTCTGTATATCAAATTTTAACATACATCATTATTACTTTTTATTATGTACAAGAAAGATAATATAAAAGAAAAATAAAATTTATCTAAATGTTAAAATCAATTTATGTATCAATTGATTTGTAAAACTCTTTGATATAATTTTTTAATTTATGTATAAATTAATTTTTATTTATAAATATATGTTTTTTTTTATATTTCTCTTGCAGAAATGTCTAAATAAATAAAAAATCATTAATAATCATAATTTATAAAAATTGATTATGATAATTAAAATTATAAATATAATTTCGATTAATCATTCTTACTTCTTCACAAGAGTTATAAAATAATCTCGGATTTTTCTTGAAGGAAAAAGTAATTGACTCTAAGAAAAACTTTAAGATTGAAGTTTTTTTATACGTGGATTTGAGATTGAGAAATATTACCATAAAAACTATATATTAATAACAATGACACTACAGAACAAATTTCATAGAGTGATTTAAAAAATTAGTTAAAGATCAGTGTATAACTAAAATATTAATTAACGTTTCATCTTTAATGTAAACGTAACACGTATAATTTAATTAGAAGAATTTTTAGGTGTTAAAGTTTTTTGTATATAAATTTTCTTATTTGTTTATGTAGTATTTATTTATTTGTTTTAAATTTAAACATACATATATCTTAATATTCATTAAAATTATCTCTGTTGTTGTCATGTGAGTTATTCTATTTTATTCAATTTATTACTGAAATGTAAAAGATCACAATTTTAATAGAAACAAAACAAATATAGTACATCTTAACTTATTCAACTCAAAAATTTATTTTTATTACCATTGACTTTGATTACTTATTTAATTTCAATTTTATGAATGAAGCCAATAAATATCTAAATTTTAGTTAGAGTCAAAGTCATAAGTATTTCAATTGACTTGAACACTCTATGAATAGAAATATTTAAACTCCTTTTTGTATAATTGATTTTTCATAAAAAAAAACTTATACATCCTGTAATATATGAGACAAATTTAATAGTGTATTTAGAATTTTCACAACATTTTTGGTTAAGAAGTGAGTTTATAAGTAGTAATTTATATTATTTTTACCCCAAAAGTAAAGGAATAAAACAGCGTTAAAACAATTACTTATAAAATAATTCTTAAATGTATATTTAACTATAAAAACAATCGATATTATTTAATATAAAAACATTATATGAAGTTTCAATAATATTTTGTATATATGATTTAGAGAAAATAAATATTTGTTGAACATAAAGTGTTTTTCTTAATCAGACTATTGTATTTTATAAAATTTATAATATTTTTTTAGTGAGTGTATCCTTAAATTCTGATATAATTAATACTTATTTTTAAATATTTTTAATTTATAAAAAAATAATTAGAAAAAAAAGATAAACCAAAAAATATATAAAAAATAGACGATAAAAAAAGTTAAATATATAAAAAAAATTAAGTCGTTATTTGTTATAAAAAAATAAGGAAAGAAACGAAAAAATAGAAAAAAATAACACAATTAGTTACGTCAACATTTTTTTAATATTTTGTTATTTTTTATTATTATAATCAATTAATTATATTTTGTTAGTTTTTTTCTCTCTTATATTTTCTATTGTTATTATTTTATCCAAATAAAACATAACAAAAAAATTAAAAGAAATAAATGAAAAAATATATATATATATATAAATATCTAAAAAGGTAAAAAAGTATCCTAAAAAATTTGATATTATTTTATTGTGAAAAAAGATATAAAATATAAACAGAATATAGAAGGGGTATTTAATATAAGTGAGCAGTTATTCAAAGGGATCATTCATTCCTGCGGCATGCATCAAGGAAACAAGTTAGAAAGGTGAAGTTATTTATGTACGTATACCAAAGTAACATACATAAATAATGCTACGCGTATCCCATAAATTTATCTTTACCTCTCTACACTTTCCCCCCTTTCCTTCAATTTTAGTTTCATTATCTCACTCTTTCCGTATCATAGTCAGGTGCGCTTTTTGTTCCTCGGTCTTTGAATCCCCACTCACCCCACACACTCTCTCTCTCTCTCTCTCTCTCTCAGATAGAGTGAAACGCTTCTCTCTCCATAATCTCTCTCTTTTGTCTCATCAATCACTCAATTCAATTCATGGATCGCTGCAGAGTCTAGAGAGAGAGAGACACGACATTCAATTTCAAGCTTCAACCCGCATTCTTCGCTTGATCCGCCGCAATGGACGCTCGCGAACCGCCCCGTCCACCGCCGCCCTCCATCATGGCAGGGCCTACAGCCTATGCACCCAACAACATCGGCCCTAATTCATCCGCCGCCATCATGATGGCACCAGCCACCGCGCGATTTCCCTTCGGTGTCGTGCAGCCACCGCAGCAACAACCTCCGCCCGCGGAGCCTTTCCCTCTCTCCCCTGCTGCTGCCTACGACGGTTCCTCCTCGCCGATGAAGCCATGTTCCCTAGCTAAGAAGAAGCGCGGCCGTCCTCGGAAGTACTCGCCGGACGGTAACATTGCCCTCGGCCTTGCTCCCACTCATGTCTCCCCTCCACCTCCCTCTGGCGCCGTTTCTGGCAGCGGAATCGGCGGAGATTCGGCCGGTACGGCCTCCGAGCCTCCGGCGAAAAAACACCGTGGAAGGCCTCCCGGGTCTGGGAAGAAACAGCTGGATGCGCTTGGTAGTTCTCGATGTTTTGTGTTTGATTTTTTTGGTTTGAATGGAACTGATTGTGATGGTTTCTTTTTTGTGTTGATGTGAAGGAGCTGGTGGGGTTGGATTCACTCCCCACGTGATCTTGGTGGAGTCTGGCGAGGTAATCCCAAATAAAAAGCTAGTCTTGCCTAAAATGCAATGCAGTGTACTGGTTTGCTTGTTTGTATTATGTGGCTCTTGTATTTGTTTGTTGGTGATTTTTGTGGATTAGCCCTGGATTTTGATGCTTTGTGTTCTTGGTTGGGAAAGGAAGAGTTTTCACTCTTTACTCAACTTCAACTTTTCTTGTACCCTCCAGAATGAATAATTATAATAAAATAGACTGTCTTTTAATCACAAATAAATATGTTTGAGAAGTTTATTTTTTTTTTACTGTAATTTTTCTTTGTTGACTATACATTAGAAAATTAATCTCATAATTACGTGGTAATACTATTTTTTGAAAGTTTTGGACTTATAATTTGCTTTGTTATGGTTACTTAAAGGTGGAGGCTCTATTAACAACGAGAGAAGAAAGTTTTGAACTGTGACGTAGAGTAACTGCTTTTGATTGTGACCTATCTATCATGAGAGACAGCCTTGCAGTGATTATTGTTTTGTCATTCTTTTTAATGTGTTTGTATTTGTGGGTTGAATGATTTCGGGGCTATTGCTCTGTGAGGTAATCTTAGAGGTCCTTAACCTTTCTGGTGATGAAACAACATTATGGAACTAGACGTACTGCATGCAGATTATCCTCAAATTGGATGTTAAATGATACCTTCATCTTTGCAAATTTTTTAAAATATGTTTGTTTTAATTTTCTGTGGCTAAAAAGGCTTGCCTTTGTTGCATGGGAACTTGATGTCAATTGCTCATTCAATGCTGTTGTATTTGAGTTCATCAATTCTTTTATAACTGTTGATGTGGAGTGTGAATGAATTTTGGCCATCTTGTTTAATCAATTTGAGAATTTATGAGGTGTATTTATTTGTCATAGTTTCTTGTTACATCATTTATATTGTATATTTTGTCCCACTAAAAAAGGAAAGGGGTAATTATAGCATTAGCTTAGCTTTCTCTTTATAGGATAGTTACTAATAAAATTTCTAGCACTCAAACTGCAAAAACATGAGATAATTATTAAATAAGACATTAGACTCTCCAAAAATATGACATGTCCAATAAATTTCAGCTAATAGTGGAATAGAGTGTGTGTTTTAGAGAATTTCTTGCAAGTATTTATTGTCAACCTTCTCTCGTTAGTTTACTTTTGAACTGAAGGAAAATTGGATTTCTTTAGTGAGTCACTATTTGTTGTGGAACCATCTTATTTGGTGTGCATAATTTATACGAATTCTTGTTTAGTTGTTACAAATCCTTCTCACTAGCATGTTTCTGTTTGTAGGATATCACAGCAAAAATTATGGCATTTTCTCAACAAGGGCCTCGGACAGTTTGTATTCTCTCTGCTATTGGTGCAATCTGTAATGTTACCCTTCGACAGCCTGCACTATCTGGTGGTACTGCTACATACGAGGTACTTTTATATCCATTCAGAATCTAGTTATCCATTGTACTAAGCTGTATTTATACTATAGGAAATGATCTGGTAATATGTGTTTGCTTAACATGCATAGCAATGAGAACATAAATTGAATGAATGTGATGACAATTTTCCATACTTCCAGTTACATACATAACTGTGCTTTAGAAAATTAAATATAACACAACACTGCATTTCAATTTGATAAATGTAACCCTTTAAGTAAATCCGCTCTTGGAATCATTGTTGAGTCTTGGACAGATAAGGCCTATTGAATACTAGGTAGGGCCTGTTGTCTAAATACTCACCAGTCTGCTTCAAATGTGAGGTAGGACAGGTAAAAACCTTGAATTAATTTGAAAATGGTTGGATAGTATCTGTGGCATGGAATTGGTGCTTTTGTACTTGTAACCTATACTTTGAAAGAAGTATTGCAATGATTACTGTCTTGTCAATGTATCAATATTTTGGGACTAATTACGTTACTGTTGATCTATGGGGTAAGTTAATGGTTAACCTTTCTTCTGATGAAATGAGAGTGTTAGATCAGCATTGTCTTACTAAATATTACAATAGTATATATTAAAGGTTTTAGGATACCTTCTTTATTAGATGAGTACAATTTAGAAATGTGCATGATGAAATGGTTGCCTATTTTTTAAAATATTTTTCAAAGCCTAATTTGATATTGGAAAAGGTGCTTTGGAACTTCTGTTTCCATTCTTGTGAATGGAACTGAATCTTATTGTTTATGATGAGCATGCCATAGCGAAATAAGGATACTGACAAGGTAGTTTGGCCCTTCCGTGCTAAAGATCTAACAGAATTGGAGCGGCTTATATCTGTTGCATTTAAAGCTTTTCTCTGGGTGCATACCTCTTTATTTCCCTTTCCTGCCAGTGCCATATTCATCCCACAACAAAATTTGTGTTTGGTTTTAAGTTGATAAGGCATTTAAATCGACATTGAGTGTTGTAGGTGAATCCTTGTCCCTCATTGGATTCATGTTCAACGTGATTGGTTGGGAATACGAATACTGCATAAGATCATTTTCTTGTAATTAGTTTTGAATGTCAGATGTTTCAATCACTAAGCACGTCATATCTCTTGTTTTATCACCTACAACATCCTTGATTGATAATAAATCAAAGCGACCATCTACTGGAATTGTTGTGATGTTTGTTTATTGGTTGTATTTTCTAAAAGAAAAGTTTCGAAAGAATGTTGAAATTTAGCTTTTATTAATTTTTTATTTATTTCCTATAGTTATAAAAACTTTTCCTTTTAGTCCCTATAACCATCTTGAGTGTTACACGTACAAGTTTTAATCTTTGTTATTCCCTGTATATAATTTTAATCCTTTTACATTCATCATGTCAATATGTTTTAGTCCTTACAACGAGGACCAAAAGGTATGTTTTAACTATAGAGACTAAGAATTTGTTTTTGAAACTAATGACTAAAAGAATATTTAATTAAACCCAACTTTTATTTGGAAGTGTGACCTGCTTGATCAAATGGTTAGGATCTTTTTGCTCTTTCCCCAAGCTAGAGCTCTGGAGGGAGTTTGTCCTAACACCGAAGATGGGACGAGTGTGGTTTGTTGTTTCCCTCCATGAGCTAAATCTTCTTAGTTTCACAGTTGTACGCTCCACTATGTCTGTCTTTATAGTTAACTTTATATTGTAGTGAAGTGTCAATGTTCTTACTTGACCCTTTTGGATGATTGTATAATTAAATATCATTCTCTTTAGGTTCAATTCTCTTCACATGATGTCAAATTACACTGCAGGGCCGATTTGAGATTATATCTTTATCAGGTGCTATGCAGCAATCTGAAAGTAATGGTGAACGTAGTAGAACATGCACTTTGAATGTGACCCTTGCAGGGTCCGATGGACGTGTTTTGGGTGGCGGGGTTGCCGGAACGCTAACTGCAGCATCAACTGTACAGGTATGGCTCTCAAATGGTATAAAGTTTACGTGGATTGTTCTAATTGTATATATAGTTCCTTGCTCATCATTACTGACAAAACTTTGATGCTTTATTTATGTGACTTCTTTTCATTGAAAGGTCATTGTGGGTAGCTTTATTGTGGATGCGAAAAAGTCGAGCTCGAATGTCCTAAAATCTGGACCTTCTGCTGCACCACCCCCCCAAATGCTAACCTTTGGTGCACCCATGACTCCAACTAGTCCTACCTCTCAAGGGCCTTCAACTGAGTCCTCTGAGGAACATGACCACACTCCTTTTTGTAGGGGGCCTGGGTCTGGACCTGGACCTGGACTCTACAATAATACTAGTCAGCCCGTTCATAACATGCCGATGTACCATCATCATCCACTATGGGCTGGCCAAACTCATCAGTGAAGATGTGACTTGGGATTTAACAGTGCAGAAGCTGCATATTTTGCATGTTGCCTGTTCAAAACTAGTGGCTAGGGATCAATTCTAAAATGCTAACTGCATTTTTGAGACTGACTTTAGAACAGTCTGTCTTAAGGTTTAAGCTATTAAGTTGATTAGGATTTTTTTTTTCTTTTAATTATAATCGTAACATTTCTAGCGATGATAGGCAAGGATATGATGCCCATTATCCATCCGAATTCTGTCATTTTGAAGTTTGCTGTCTGCATTCCGCAGTAGCAGCAAAGCAGCAGAATCAGAATTTGTGCTTTCCGCGATCTATTGTGCTTTAGTGTTTATTTAATTATTTGGTTCCTCCTGCATTCATTAGCCGTGAGTAGGACTCTCATTATTCTGAGCCGTGTATTCATTCATTTTAACATTTCAACTGCGACCTCTTCACGTGTCAATCATGCATGCACCATAAATTCCTACACATTCTTATTCTTAAAATATAATTCTATGCCATGCTAACCAATTACTATTCACATGACCATCGTAATTTTATTAAATGAAAAAAAAGGTATATAATGCTTTCAACCCATTAAATGTAATATGCATAGATTTTACTTCATTTAATGCTCTGTATTATATACATCTTAGCCAACTTTTAATAATAAATGTTGGGTAAAAGGACAAACTAAATTTTTAGTTTTTAATGTAATATTACTAAGTATTATTATTATTCTTATTCTTCTTATTATTGTACTCTTACTAATCCTAATTATGGATAACAGAATGTGATGTAACCAAATAATAAGAGTTGTAAACTTACAAGAATTTATTTCTTTATTAATTTTAAAGATAGATTTCAGTTTTTTAACTTTTAAAAATTGAAAAAATGGTTTGATAATTATTTTACTAGAACATTTTGTTAAATTTGTTTTTGTTTCTTAGCTGTTAAAAGTTAAAAAAATTAATTCAACATGGATTTTTTTTTAAATTTTCTATCAATATTTTTATTATAAAATTTATTTTTTAAATGTTTATAATTTTTTAGTTATTTATTCGTTGTCTGATTTTTTTTAAATTAGACCTATTAAAATTCTTTTTTCTACATATTAAAAAAAAACTAAATTTTTGACCTATAAAATTATTTTTAAAAAATTAAAAATAAAATTAAACCAAATAATTTTTACCTTTTAGATTTGTAATAGACTTAAATTAGAGGTAACATTTTTTTCTTTTATAAAATTCAATCTATAATATTGTCTTGATTATTTTTAGACCAATATACTGTGCTAAAAATAGTTTAGAAAATAAGAATATTAATGATATATTTTAAAAGACAATTTCTACTTATAATAATTAAGTACTATAAATATCACGTCTTATTTATTTATCTATTATCTTTGGATATATACAAATAAAATAATTACTTTTATAATAATTATAAGAAAGTTAGTGGAGTTAATTTAATTTTCTTAATTTTATAAAGAATTATAATTCCCAAACTAGAGAGATATTTTTCTACAAAGCATACTAAGTATTTTTGAAATAACAAAAATAAATAAAATTGAATTAGAAATAATTTAATTATGTTTTATACTATAATATTGTTTTTGAAATATTAAATTTTTCATGTTTTTATTTACATGTAATATTTAACTTATATATTTTAATTTAAACCTGAGAATTCAGGTTAACTATAGTGGAACCTTTCTCTGCGTCCATTGTGTTTTTGTTAGCTTTTGAATTTTGAAAGCTGAATTTCGTTGTCAGATATCATTTATGAAGTGGCCTTTTTACGCCCAATATGTCCCACTCTTTAAAACCTTCCTCTCTTCTGCATCACACCTTAAACTTCCCTGTTCCATCCCAACTTGTCCATAGCCAAACTAACACTTCCACGCGCCACTCCCCGAACGTCACACCTCAACCACTACCGCGCCACCAGATCAAACGCTGACATATTACATTAAAAAAACAACCCACGCGCCAGACGAAAATCACACCTCAACCACGCGCTTTCCTTATACTCCAACTCATGACGCAACCCAACTTAAAGTCACACCATATGCTTACCAACATCGTTAGTTGTAGGGGAAATAAATAAATAACTTTTAATCTATTGACAGTGTAAAATCGTTCTGATTCATTACCCACTTATTATCTTAATCAAATTGCTTTAATAATAAAAACAACACTTGATGTTATTAATGAGAGGTTAAAAATTTAAAACCCTAATTCCATAATGACTACGGTGCTAGTTCAACATTTGGACAATTTTTATTATGGGCCCTTCCTAGCAGCAACCACCACCTGTGTGTGTATATATATGTAGAACATACATATATTTTGATGCTCATTCAATTCATACAAATATTTGTTAATTCTATGAATTGCTTGGTGTTGCCGTTGTCATTGATCCGAAGACGCTCCATGGGGTACCGGCCCCTAACCAGGGACAAAGAATCCGACAACCCTGTAACCGTGGTGGTCGGAAAAGAGCAGAAGGTGTTCCTTGTGGACCCTTTCATTTTACAAGAGAACCCTTTTCGGGTTTTGATGGACACGTCCAGGAGGAAGAAGGAAGAGGAAAATGATAATCATCTCCATCATCAACGTAGTAGAGTGGTCTTCGTGGATGTGGATGCCATTTTGTTCGAGCACATGTTGTGGCTCATGCATAATGATTGCTCTTCTTTGTTCAACCTTAATTTGAAGGACATTATTGATTTCTATGCTCAGGACGTATAATCGTGATATAGCAAACGAATTTCAGTTACTAAGAGTAGGTTGTCTTAGCAGAAACACCTTCTTCCTTGTAATATTTATTTCTAATAATACAAACCAATTAATCACCTATATTGTCTCTTTTTTTTTTTGTTTCTTCTCCATCGTATGAGCATATACCATCTTTTTCTAAAGTTTTCTTTTTAATACTGGTTTCACGGCCAATTATTAGTGCTTTCATAGATTCTTTCATCATTAACTAATATTGACTTGTTCAAAGCAGCAAGGTGAAGTATTCAGCGCTTTCATGTTGAAACAATCAAACTAGCATTATGTTAGAGGATGAAATAATATATATTGGATTAATTGAAGTTTATTCATGGTTCATCTTCGATTTTGAAGGACTTTCTTCGTTCATTGTTAGGTCCGTTTATGTTATCTTAAAAATATATTTTAACGTAAACCATTTTTATTATATAAAATGAAAATTTTAAATCATATAAAATATTAAAATATAATGATTATATAAGTTGTATCTTTTAACTAATAAAAAATCTGATAGGAGCAAGAATGAAGGCGTAACACAGTGTGAAACGTGAGTATCGCCATCGGAGTTACCTAGCATGTTATGTTAAGGAGTTTTCCAGAGTCAACAGTTTATATTGTAGCGTAAAGTATGAGTGATGTAGATTAGATAATTGCTTTTAGTTACTGAGTTTCATAAAGCTTGTGAAATTTTGCGACGTGGCGGTATGTAGTTTTTTATATAATTGTGTTTTTGTTTATATAATTTTTAAACATTTTGTTTCTAATCCTTATACTCTTTGTTACAAAAACGCTTTCATGATGATTATGATCCGTTCGTATGCACTTAAAAAAAAAAATGCTAAAAGATATTTATTTTTATGTTTTTTATATAATTTTTTTTCTTTTTACAAAATTTATTTTTCTTTTATTATATATATAAAAAAGAAACTTCAAATAAAAAACTCATAATTTTTTTTCTGCTTTCGCTACGTTTATAAATTCATTTAAATGTTAAAAATAAGAATAATTATTTTATAAAAAAAACATTTTTTTTTAAATTAACATTGTGATAGGATTGTATTGTAAAAAATAAAAGCAAAAATAATATATTTGTAGAAAATATAAAACAAAAGATATATATTATCACCAATTATTAGCATATTTGATTTCTTTAGTTGATTGAGGATGATAGGAGACCAGTTAGCCAATAATCTTCAATTTTAGAAATTATTTGTGTATTTTAATATTTTTAAAAACTAAACTGAAAATGTTTTACAAATTTAAAGACAAATAAAAATTTGGACACTATTTCTTGAGGTTCTAGCCCACGGGCCTTCACTGGCTTCGGCTGAAAGGGCATGTGACAGGTCTCCAGAAGAGTTTGGGCCTGTGGATAACAATTGTATATCAGGCTTTGGTGTTGCAGACATATTCGGTTAATGCTTAATAAAATATGTGAAAGTCCAGACCCATTTACTTTCTTTTCTTCTATTTTTTATGAAGACCCAGATTATTTGTTAGGTTTGAATTCTTCTTGATTAGACGGAGAAGTTTCAATAATGTGTAAGAATAAATTTTAAAAATGTTAGAGAAAAAAAATTAAAATCAGGCAGTAGTTTATATGTCCATTTTTAATTATATTACAATATAGCATAAAAATATAAACAGGATATCAATTTAAGTGTTTTTTTTTTATAATTTATTATCATTATGAAATTTTACCAAAATATTAAAAAAAAATGAAATATTACATTCTGATATTCTGAATGCAAAGCCTGCATTCTTTGAACGTCAACAAACTTAATTATATGAAAGAATAGTTGAAGAAACATAGAACATTTGTGATTTTTGTTTCTTTCTAAAAAGGAATTTCCATTGAGTTTTGAAGTACGATTGAAGAATAGAATAACCATTAAACTTTCCACAATTTTACTCGAAAGAGTCTTATCCTCCGACTCTTTCCACCTCCACCTAGGGTTTCACTCATCCTCACACACTCTCGCTTTGTGCTTTGAGTTGCACACATCATTAATGTCTCCCCACAATGTTCGGCCCTAAAGAAAAGCCGTTTGAATCTAAATGATTCTTTTAAGAACTTTGTTTGTCCCACGAAAAAATAAATGATAAACAGATTCTACTCAAAGTTATATGAATATTTTTAAAGGAATTATTAGCAAGAATTACTTAAGCAGATATTTTATTATAGATCTTATATCTGAATAGCTTAAAAATAGAAAAAAAAAATTACTTAAAATTTTAAAAAAAGTTACTTAAATAATTTATTCTAATTAAATTTTAAACAACTTAACTGTATTATTTATAATAAAATATTTAATTTTATTTTCTGTTTAACAAATTTCTTTTTAGATGTTAGAAGTAGACTTACTTTGCCTCCAAAAGAAGAGCACGAGAGAGATAGTGAAATTTCCAAGTAGAACTATTCTTAAGACTGCTACCACCTATTGGAATATCTGGAAATCCAAATTTTTTTTGAATCAACTCTACGATGGTTAGTTATTTCTAGAGATTATCAATAAAACTGGTAGATTCTCACTAATAAAAATAAGTCAATTATATAAAAAAATATAACTTAAAGAAAAATCTTAAGACATTAAAAGTCTTTTTTTAATTATAAATATTCAACTTTTTTTTTTGATCATATAAGACTTAAACTGACTTGATTTCTTAACAACAGGATCAATTAATTGTAAAGCTGAATTGTAAGGTAATCATCAACGTTTACTCTTCATAACAATTTTTTATTTTTAGAAATTCATTTTCAAACTTGATGTCAATTCAAAACTCCTTTAAATAATCTTCTGTGACTCAAATTCTCTACACATGCTTTCCCAATCAATCTAATGTATATTACTCTTTTTCGCTTGTAAAATAACACACCCTTTTCCATTTATTATTTTTTTTTTCATGAAATTTCAGTTATTATCTTCTCAACAAAAGGCAACTCTGTTGTTTTCAGCGTTGTCATTATCACCGTGATTAGTAGTATTATAATTAAGGTTTTAAAAATTTGGAATATTATCAAGATCAATTTTGTTGGTCATTTTATTTGTTAGGGTTAGTACTGATCAGCGGATGGAAGATTAAACGATTTACAATTTCTTTCAGAAAGATACAAATGTCATGAATTGCATCAGTAGATAATTAAATTATAGGTTTAATGATTTTTTTTTTCTTGTTTTTATTTCTGTTTTCCTCGACTTTAAACAAAGTTAGGGCTTCTGTAAGGGTTCTTCTATCTAAAATCTCAAATAGTTATTTTGTATCAAAACATTTGAAGGTTTATGATGATTTTAATTAGAATATAAAATGTTTTAAAACTTAAAAATTAGACTTTTAGTGAAATTAGATTTTGAACAGGAAAAGATTTAAGATTATTATTTACATATTTTAGAATAATTTTTATGGATTGATCGATGCATTGGAGTGAGGAATCTTTCAAACAACACACACATATATTTAAAATAGAAACTTAAATCTGATATTTTGTTTTGCAGAATATATATAATTGGAGGAGGAATTAATTTGTTTAACATAAAAAAAAACAAGACTTAATTTATATATCAGTATTATCATATTTGCTATACTATTTGTTTTATAAATCAAAATTTTATTTATAAAGTACTTTGACTTCATATAAAATTGGGTGTTTAAAAATCTTTTCTCATAATTTATAGGATATGTAAATAAAAGATATAAAGAATTTGTTTTCTGATTAGCTGAAAACTCGTAATAATTAAGACTTAATTTCTTTGTCAAATTCAATAATGACATCAGAGGGATTAATCATTCTGCATAGAAGAGACCATAATGACAGAAAACACTACTTGTTCAAAGCACATGGTTAAATCTGTGCAAGTTTAAGCAGATCAGTATCATCCATTACTTATCCATCTAGAATGACAATGTTGAAGTTACAGAAAGCAGATTAATCGAGGACATTTAGAACAAGCTGACACTTATCATGCTCATTACAGAATTCTAAGGACTAATTAACGAAGTCGTTGTCATATATAGAACTCATCATCATATGGCTAAACCCCAGAGGAAATTAAAATGGTTTTGTATCCGTGGTGCAGACTCACAGAGGTGTACATATTTGTTGCAGAAGATAGATTGCAGCTTAAAATTAATAAATTATTTTAGTAGATCACAGCATTTAGCGAGCGTGTGTGTGAGTATATATATATATACGGATTTGTGTGGTGGACGTATATTCTTGCAGCTAAGTGGTTTATAGAATCAAATGCATTAATTCTTGGAGGACAATGAAGCGGAATGACAATTTGTTTTGATCAAAATTAAAGCCCAGTACAGCTTCACTACTGTGGAAGTGCAAGGTCAGCAAAAATCAGAAACGCAAGGAACTTTGGAAAGAAAACTTATTAAGTGGAGAATAATTAAAAGCCAGCAGTGACATTACGTTTATGCAATATTTAAATCCGGTCCGCGCCGGAAACCTAAGCACCTATAATCAAACCTACACTAATTTATCATTTGCTCCACAAATGACTGAATATATATAATTATGTCACAACTCTGAGCAGCCCCACAATCTAATTAAAAACGAGGTAATGGCTTGCAAGATCAAAAGCGATTCCGGCCTAAAATATTGAGGGGCTTAGCTTTCAATGATCAAAATCCGTAAAACATATTGCTGTCAACTAGACAGTGTAATGGATTTTATCCACTGAAGCCTATAGATTTAAACACAGTAATGCAAAATAGATGAACCAAAATAAAGGGTGCAAGTTTTTCAATACGTGGAGTCCATTTGTTACTATACCAGTAGTATCCTGTATTCCCCATGCAGTGTCCAAGTCCAATGGATCACTTCCTCTCCAGATCCGAATTGAAAGACAACACATATATCATATTATAAGGTGGTGTTTGGTTTCGAGTGCGCGTTTCTCACCATTAGATGACCGAAAGTTAATTTCAGGTTGTAAATTCCCCATAAGATCAGGCTCTGATGTACCAAGATCATACATTTTATCCGAGTGTAGTACTAGCTAGCAGAAGCAAAATCTGGACTCCAAAATTCGTCACTGGGTCTAATTAAAGGTTTTTCAATGTTACAATTATTCAGGCAATATAATGATCAGAAAGTAGAGCCTAATACGTATTGTAGCTGGTTAATGCCGGCGAAGGTAATCACCAATTTTAACTTCCTTATATCCATATATAGCCAGTAAAATATAGAGAAGCATATGCATGACCTAAAAACATTCATATTATTCATGATTACTATCCATGGGAAATATAAATAATACGAAGTCAAGCATTTGATTTTTATTTATTATTCAAACATTTACTTTATTTTAGTGAATTTATACACATGCAGGAAAAGCTTATAAAATTAACACCGTACATCGCAGCCTTATATTTATCACTGAATCCCTAGTTTTATTATATGTATATACATTTTGTACACAAACTGGCATAAGTATACCAAACACAAACACTAATGATAAATTTAATCCTAAGCTTGTGAAAAAAGCAAGGGGGTATAAAATAAGCACTACATTTAAAAATAGAGAAACCATAAAAAGGCACGGAAATAAAGGAGATGGGGGAGGGGTAGCTGGTTATGGAGTTGAGACTCGCGAGTTATTGCTTTGCTTATGTCTAAACGACAACCAGCTCCTTGAAACATGTAGCCAGGTAGTGCAAGTCATGTTAAGATTTAAAAGCCAAATCCTCAAGCAGAAAAAATAAGCAGAGAAATATAATTAACATAACAGCAAGCTACTAATTAATTAAATTATACAGTAGTGTTCCATATTATAATAATGGACAAGGAAATTAAGAGATGAAATGAGACTGAAACGGGCTACATAATCATGATATCATATCATATCACAGTATCCATTAATTAACAGCAGCAGCAGAAGAAGAAGAGAAAATTAATTATAGTATTTATGTAGTCCATGAATTTGCTGACCTTGTAATAACATACCGTAATCTCTTGAAGAAATCCTTGATGGATGAAGATGGATCCTGAGTGAAAGAAGAAACTCAAAATGGTGGTGGACGTGAAGCAGCGTTTCCCGCCCAACCCTCAACGGGCAACTGAACGTTCTGCATATTCAGAGGTAAATTGAAGAAGGGAAGTCCCGAAGAAGGGTCGGGGAATGGGTTGTTATTGTTATTGTTGCCGTTGTTATTTCCAACGCCGTGAGACGACGTCGTAGCAGGTGGCTGAATCTGAAGCTGTTCTTCTTCTTCTAACGGTAGCCTCTCGTAGGCTACGTTCGTGAACGACGCGGCGATGACGATCACCGGCCCCGCCGCTGTGAGCTCTCCAACCACGTTTCCTCCAACCACCTGGCCCTGCCCTCCCGCGAGGTAGATGGTGAGACTGGTCGCCCCCGGCGGAGCGGGCGGCGGGAGGAAGGACCCAGAGAGGGAGAGAATCTCGAAGCGACCGTGGAGCGTGACGACGGCGCCGGCAGCGGCTGGCTGGCGGAGGCTTACATTGGTGACGGTGCCGCTACCGCTGAGGATGCAGATCCCACGCTGACGGCGGCGCGCATAGGTGGTGACGCAGTCGAAGACGTCGGAGCCGCTTCCGACCTCAAGGATGTGCGCGCGGAGTGTGTTGGCGCTCTCCCGCGTGATTATCACTGGCGGCTTCGGCTTGTTCTTGGAGCCCGGCGGCCTTCCACGTGGACGCCGACCGACCACGTCGCCGGGACCCACCGAAGCTAGGTCCAATCCTTGGCTTGGGTCATCGTCGTCGAACGGCGCCGTTCCGCGGTTCTGCGGCGGCGTCTCTTGCTCCTCCGAATCGCGATGAAGCTGCTGCAAGTGCAAGTCCGGTCTGTGAAGGTTTTGAACAAAGCGTGAAGCGCTTCCTAAATCCAAACCAGCCATAGACACATCCAAGAGAGAGAGAACGATATATAAATATAAACAGACACACAAGTTAAAAAAAAAAGGTTATATTATAAGATAGAAAAAAAAAAAAACAGAAAACAAGGAAAACACAAATGATTATATTATGGAGAAAGAAGGAAATATAGTTAATAAATAGTAGAGAAATTTATTTAATTTTTGTTGGGTTAAGAGCAGTGTTGGTTTGTTTATGGTTATTTTAAGGGTAGTGGTGTGAGTGTGTGGAAGAATAGAAGGAAGAAAAAGAGAGAAGAAGAAGAAAAGGGGATGGATGGGGTGGGTTTTGAAAAAGAAAGATGGAGTGCAGAGAAAGAAAAGGGAAGAAGAAACAGAAGAAAGAAGGTGAAGAGAGAAAGAATGGGAGAGAGAATTGAAATGAGGTTGAAGGAGACAAAGGACTCACAATGCAGACATTTGTTTGGGCAAACAAAAGTTTAAAATAACAATAATAGGCATATGTACTATAAAATATAACAATTAGTTGAGCCAAATCTTTTTAACACACTCGCTCCCATGTGTTTTGTCACTCCTGTTAGAAGAGCGTGGCGGCAACGCGACCTTAACTTCTCTACTCTTAATTAATCCAACATTTCCACCATCAATTATTGCTTAGGTTTTCTGTGGGCGTTATATGAATATGGTCACATACCCCTCTTAATATAGTTTAGTTTTTTTACAATATTTTCTTTTACAGTTATGTTTCATCAATAATTTGCATTATTGTCTGAATCTATTTATAGGGAAAAATTCATTGAGATTAGGATTAAACATTTGGATTGTCTATACCCATTACTATTTGTTATGAATTAATTAACATACACTTAAAGTGAAAAATTATTTTATGTTGTTATCTAATTGTTGATAACCGTATCCACTAAACTTATTCATGATAACTATTTTAAATGTTATACAAAAAACAATGTAAAATAATATATACCAGCTTATTATACATTTTTATTTTAGTAAACTAAGTTGCAAATTACTTATATAAGCATGAATTAGGCATAATGGCTAGTCAAATTAATACAATTATAAAATAAAGTAATGTACGAAAATATGTCAAACAACTTCAATTGTATAAAATATTATAAACTTCATCCCTGTCACCAAAACAGAACTTGATTTGTTCTTTTATAGACATTTTAACTAGTTGTTAACTGACGAAATTTAGCATTTGCACCCAAATAACGTATTATGTAATGAATGTTTTGAAAATGAAGGCACATTGGATGAAAACATATATATAATAAATAATAGATACAAATATTTTAATTATCAACTTATTGAGTGCACATCCGATGATATTTACATATGTATTTATTATCATTGGTAATAATTTAAAAAATAAAATAATTAGTGAAGAAAAATTAATAATTAAAAAATAAATTGTAATTTAACTTTATAGATTTATATTTTTATTTAGATTTATAAAAATAAAAATATTTTAAAAAGATATTATTTTTATTTAAATTTGTATTTTTTTATCATTTGAATTTATTTCTTAAAAAAGATTATTTTTATTTATACTAATATTTGTTAACATAATTTTATTTAGATTATATTTAAAAACAACATTTTATTTCAGTTTTTATTTCCAAAATAATTTTTGAATAATCTTGTTTTTATATTTTTGAAAATATTATAAATATTCATGGTTATATGTAAATATAAAATAATCCGAATTTTTTAGATAAATACCTGATGAGTAAAATGTAATATTATGATTTTTGAATTTTTCTACTAAATATTTTTTAAGATTTACTACATGCGGGGCCGCGTGGATAATTTCGACATTGAAGTTGTTTCTATTCAGGTAATCAAAGATGACAACGTTAGTTGTTAATGTACTATATAGTTTGGATAAAATTAACTATTAAATAAATATTTAGTAAAAAATATTTATTAAGGAGAAAAGTAAAAAGTTTAGCTTATTTTAAAAGTACTTATAAATAAAGTACGATAAAAAACATGCAGGTAGTGAGTTTTATGATACTAACCCTAATAACAACATAACATCACTCAGGTAAACAGATATCTACAGATTGTGGTATTATATATATTTTACTTATTGGTGTTTAAATTAAAATAATGATATTATATGTACGCCCTTAAAAGTTAAATTGAAGGGCCACCATTTGATCCAAATACTTGACAGAACTAAGAGTTAGTTGGATTTCGTAAACAACAAAAGTTCTTTTAATTAAAAAATGTACATGTAGAATATAATTATAAAATCAAAGAACAAAATCATGTAAAAAAAAAAAAAACTATTCCTTTAAAAATGTAAATGAAGGAAAAGAATGGGAAAAGTTTAAATTGTTTGTTTTGTTGTCGGACGAAAAGAGTAGAATAAAAAATGATTATCTTATGATTCTTGCCTTATTATGATAATATCTAATTGTGGTCTACAATTTAAATTTAACAGCTCGATCGCAATAGATACGAAAACAATAAATTCATCTCATTACCACTTCCTATATCTTGTAATAAATTCATCCCATCTTGCATGCTTTCTAAAATGAATTAAATAATGCAAGAAAAAACACATGAAAAATATAAAATGAAATTAAATAATGAGGAAATGGGATGAGAATTTCAGTAGATTGAGAGGAGTGAATTAAGAAATGAAACGACATAAAGAGTGGAGGGCGCGTGGCAACTGGGTTGTGTGCGTGTGTAAGGGTAGAGAAGAGAAGAGAGACAGAAAGATTGTGTGCGTGTGTGGGTGGGGTTTAGAGGATGGAATATGGATGGTGATGTGTTGAGATAAATAATGTAACGGTGTTCAGTCGTTGGCGTTGGTGGTGCTGGTGGTGGTCTCGTGGGGTTTGAATTGAAAATTTGGGTATCGCCTTCTCTTCTTCTTCTTCATGTGGGTTCACACTAACCATGGTTTAGATTAGGAGATGAAGTTGGGTTTAGAGTAAGATTATATTAATATATATTATTTAATTTATTATAATAATATTGCATAGATCACATTCGATAAACGAGGGCGGAGGAATGGGCAAGTGGGAGATGATGGTGCGGCGGGTGGTTCCCACTACTCTTGTCTTCTTCCTCGCCAACCCTCCACCACTCTTTCTCCGTTTACCCTTCCTATTCCAAGGATCATTTTTTTAATTTATTTATTATAAATGTCAACTATTAATATTTTTTTTTACTGTTAATGTTGTAATTTAAAACCATATAAAAAATAGTATAATGTCGCATTAGTACTCTATGTCAATATTAGGCCTCGTATTATAATAATGTGAGGTTCAAATCGCATTGGCTATGGCATACCTGGTTTTATTTTATTTACAATGAATGAAGTTACTTTTTCTATACTTTCCTAAACATATTTATAGGTTAGAGTTTCATTCCATTGGTCAGGGAGTCATAACACGTGTTAGGATCAGATCTGAGAACGTAAGACTTTTCTATTGGTAATTTAATTAGACAAAGAGAGTTAGTTCATTAATTAAGGTTCTATGGATACAATCTATAATATTTGCAAATTAACTAAGAAAAAAAAATATATATTTTGCTTATCTTTGCACACGTTCATTAGATGTGGATTAAATTTATTAGTACCCAAAAAGCTAAGGCGTACTCGCACTTGAAAATAACCAATTAATTAAGGACGAGATGAAATAAAAAAAAAGGGTTAGGGTTCTATAACGTGCACACAGTGCACTGTTGATTATGGAGGAAAAATAAAGTAGAGATGAAAAGTCATTTAAAATTGTAAATTTTTTATTACAAAGTATGACTCTGCTTTTTCAACTCTTGGTCCTGTAATTATGGAAGATTAATGTAGTTAATCAATAACAAAATATAAATATACGCCTTCAAAAAGAATACATATTTTATATCTCATCTTTAGTGAAATAAATAAATAAATAATTGCAGTTCGTTGGCTTTATTCCTAACTTGTTTAGAAGGACTTAAAGGCTATGATGATGATGATGATTTTTTTCTGCTTTGGTGGTGAGGGTGTGGACAGGTGGGAGGTAGCAGATCACCTCTTCCACACAAGGTAGGTTTGTTAATTTTCCAATCCTAGGTTACTCTTCAACTTCACTTGCCTAAATCATAAGCCAAAGCCAGTGATTTAATTAATTAATTAATTAATTAAAGAACGGTGCCAGTGAACACAATTCCCCCTCTGATTGTTACCAAAAGTCGAATCTTATTACCAAGTAATTTGCCGTGTTAAACACAACTCAGAGATGAAACATGAAGCGTTCAAATTCGAGACATTCAAACATTGGATTTCTTTTTCTTATATTTTATGTAATTAATTAATAATATGATTGAATTAAAGGACATACAAATTTTTCTTCCATAGATCCTTCTGTGATGGAAGTGGTCACTGAAAAGAAACTGTTGACTTTATAAAGAAACAGCTTGCTTTAAATATTAGTGGAGCACTGACGATGTGATATAGTATTTTACTCCTTTAAATGTAATTTAATAAGCTTTTAAAGTGATGTAAAACCATTATGTGGTTGGATCTGACATATACTAATTAGTGTTATTTCTTAAGTGGGTGATTTAAGTACATAAAGTATGATAATCCACTGTTGGTGATTATCCTGTCTAATGTAATCATAAGCTTTGGCCGAATGGAAAATGCATGCACACATGGAAACTTCCAAGAGGACATCCTTCCCTAGCAGCTATGTAAACTTAAACATTAAATTGTACGAGGATTCTTTATTTACAATGTTTATTATCTATTCTATTCTAACCTGTTTTAAAAATAAACATGTTCGAATCCTTCCATTCCTTTTTATAATTCAAACTGATCAAGAAATCAACGTGTGCCTGAGTATTTAACTGCACATATTGAAGGATTGCTTGAATTAGAGAATCTTGAGTAGATATATTTATGATGGAAAGATTTTCTATGACGAGAACAAACAATCATACTTATTAGTATTACGATGCTTCGCTTATTTGATCTTTTTATTATTATTAAAAGGTAGGATTTTATTTTAAAATTATATATATTTTTTAATTCGTAGTATGATTACATGTATCTCATTTTTTAAAATTATAATATATTAGTATTATTCTATTGATTTTTTTTTATAATTTTATTTTTGAATGTAAGTATGCTACTTATATAAATAATTAAGCTTGTAAACTTATTGAGAGATAATTTGTATCTCATTTAGATGTTTTATTTTAAAATAGGTTTTCAAATAGTTGTGATGAAAATCTTGTTGTTTAATTGTGACTGTGAACTAAATTATTTAATTATTATAATAATCGATTAGTTTTATTTTAACTTATTATAAGAAATAAGAGCGTGAGAATAAAATCCCAACTCTAAAGATTTCCTAAGTCTAAATATCTTATTTACCTAATGTGTATAAAATAAAATAAATGTTTAATAACTAATTATAATTAGATGATTAAACAAAGTAACTCTACCCATAACTCTTTCTTAAAATAACTTAAATGTCCAGTCTAATGTGTAGTGCGGGGTGAATATGGTATTTTGTTCTTACAAAATGGAAAAAGTCCAAATCCAAATTCACTTAAAGCAGATATTTTTCTCACCAATTTGGAGTCCAAGTCAAATAGTACGATTTAGTTAATTGTTGTCGTTCCGAAATATCTAGCTGCATGCACACGAGCATATGTATCAAATCAAATTCTCAAAAGGGAGGGTAAGAATAAGATATTGTTGCCCAAATTTTATTTTGTTTTTGTCAATGCATGATATCTCTAAGGACAGTATTGAAGCTAGCCCGACCAAGGGTACGAGGTTGTTTGGATTACATTGGATAAAACCCTAGCCACACACAGAGTTATACGCAAATCGGATCTGGACAAGGGCTCTAGATTTGTGGCTACAAACGTTCAGAGGCAAGCACACGCCCTAATTGGTTCGTAGTCAATAGTGTCATAGGCATTCTGTGGTCGGGGTTAACCAAACAAGAGTTAGAAATTGAAACAAAAAAGACGAACAATTAATATAAAAATGGCTTTATAGTCAAACAACACTTTAACGTGTTGAAATTAGAATTGTTTCGTTGTTCTCCATTAATTTCTTCAACAAGAACCACGCATGGCATGCCATGACACTAATGTCCTTGTCCACGTTCGTAACAGGCTGGACAGTGTATACCAACTCAGTTGAGACCAAGTCAATCCAAACTTTTGCGATGTGATTATTAGTCGACTTTAATTTAATACTTGTCGGTTAAGTGTTAAACCTGGTTTATCAGGATTAAAATATAAGTTGTATTTAGTAATTTTAGTTAATTTAAATTTATAATTTTTTTAAAATGATTCTTAATATTAGTATGGTATACTTTATTTTTAAAATATTCTAATTAGTTAGAGTAATATTTTTTTTCCTAATTATATATATATATATATATATATATATATATATATAGAAAATCTATTAAAAAGAATTGGAGACTTAAATAAATAGTAAGAATAAAATATATATATTTTTAACTCTTATTTTTAAATAATATATATAGAGAGTGATAAATGTTAATAAGTGATTTTAAAAATTTCAAAGTAGAATATTTCCATTTAAAACTATTAAATTTTAATTATAATTTCTAACAGAGTATTAAATTGAACTGATTAAAAAAATATTAAAAATTGATTAAAAAATTAAAATTTATTTAATACTATTTTTTAATTATATATATATATATTTTCTCAATTAAAAATTTGATTCATAAAATCAAACTAAATTTAGTTATTGTATTTAAATATAATATTATATAATTAGGGTTAATAATATATATATATTCTAAAGATTTTATTTACAATATTAGATAATATATTTATATTTAATAAAAATATAATAATAATTATATTTTTCTTTTTGATTATAAGATCATATAATTTATATATGAATATGAAAATTATAAATATCACAACAATCTAAAAATAAGTTTGACTCATTTAATAAAACTAAACTGACATTAAAAATAATATAGTGGGATAAAATCAAACAAATTAAAAAAAAATAAAATAAAAAATTATTTAACTTTTATTAATATCCCATTTAAATAAAAAAAACCTTAATGATTTTTTTTTCAATTTTTTTTCTAAATTATAGCTATAGAAAATGATTTTTTTTGTCTTTGTAAGTTGTCTCGTTAACAAGAATAGAGTAATGATGCTGTTAGGAAGATCTATCCAAAATAGATTGGATAATAATGTGACCTTCAGAATTTTTGATTTAGTTTTTTTCTTCTTCTTTCTTTTCTCTTTTGTAACCTAAATCTATTTAAGGTAAGTTTAACTTCCTTTTTTTTTAACACTTCTTAAAAATATAAGCGAAATTATTCACTTTTCATGTCTTTTCTCCTTTCACTCATAATTTTTCATTTTATATCTTCCCTCTTTTGCTCGGCACTCTTCGTCTTAGAGGAAGAAGGAGATCTCTGCATTTCTTGGTCTCTGTGTCTTCTTTTTTGCAAACACATTTCTTTGGTAAAACTATATCATCTTTTAAACATGGAATAATTATAATATAGTACCAGAGTAAGGTTTAAAAGCATGCTTTGCTTCCGTTCCCCCCCTCCTCTTTTTTTTTTTTTTTTTTTTTTTCTTTTCTTTTCTTCTTTATAGGTTCTTGGACCTTGCATGTCTGCATCATGGACAAGTGTTGCCACCACAAAGTCCTACAACATAGATTAGTTTCTCATCCCTACAAGTCCTTCCTACCTACACCCAGGAGAAAACTCTGGTTTTGTTCTTATTCCTTAATCCTTAAATGAAACCAACTATTGTTCTTGGAGCATAAGCATGAAGAGAGCTCTTTTGTCCAAGAACAAGTTCAAATTTTTTAAATAGAAGCATCAAGATTCCTCAGAAGAGATTATCCTATCTACGAAACATGGGAAAAATCGTGACCATTCTTTCTTAGATCAATATAATGTTATCTTCTCAAATTGCTGCCAATGTCATATACATTGACAATGTCAAAGAGCTTTGGGATGAATTAAGAAATAGATTCTCAAAGTGAGATTATTTTTGTGTCTTAGATCTTCTTCTACAAGAAGTTCACTCAATAAAGCAAGACGAGAGAAATGTTATACAATATTATACTAATTTGAAAACTGTTGAAAGAATTATATTTTTTAAGGCCTATTCCCAACTGTGTTTGTGGAAAACCTTGTGAATGTGACTTGCTTAGAAATTTCACGAAAACTAGAGCAAATAAATATGTCATCTATTTTCTAAAGGACCTAAATGATTCCTACAATAACATCAAAACTCATATTCTTTTAATGGAGCCTCTGCCAAACATGAACAAAGTTTTTCCATGATTATACAACAAGAAAGGCATACTAATAATTATGATGTTGAAAGTAAAGTTGTACTTAATACAGTTGAAAGAAATCACAAACAAGAACAAGGATCAAGGAAGAATAAATGCACAATGTACTCAAGGAAGAGGAAGAAGAAGAAATCCGAACTATGGGAAACAATGTTCTTAGTGCCATAAGATGAATCACATGATTGATGAATGTTATTCCAAGCATGGTTACCCTCAATTGTACAAACAAAGGAACAATTACAACAACAATAATCAAGAAAGAGGCAACCAAGACAAAGACAATTAACAAATGTGTAATTTCAATGCCAAAATGGGGGAATCTAAACGTGACACAAAATACTAAAGAAGAAAAGTTGACTTTCACTATGGAACAAATGAAGAAGATGCTAAAACTTGTTGAAGAACCACAAAATTATGGGCACAACATTAACCATATTCAAATAAACAACAACAATATTTGAACCACCAATACTCAGGAAGGTAATGAATTCTTGATCCTATATTTAGGGCTACTGATCATGTAACACATAATAAAGAACATTTCAATTCTTTTTATAGAATAAAATCAGTAAATATTAAGTTGCCTAACATCTCATGTGTCACTGCCAATTTTGCTGGAACTGTTCAATTTTCTAAAGATTTTATTCTTTAATGTTTTATATCTTCTAGAATTTTCTTTCAATTTGATTTTAGTTCAAACCCTTATTAAAGATTTGAACGACAAGCTGATTTTTCTTCCCGAGTGTTGCCAAATGCAAGAAATTACTTCATCCAAGATGATTGGGTGTGCTAACATCAACAATGGGCTATATTACCTTCACAATTTTCCTTCTTTTGTTGATTTTAATGTTGGAATTGTCTTAAATTGTACAAAATATGATATTAATTTCTAGTACTATAGATCAGGACACCCAATAGATAGGGTTATTAAAGCAATTTGTAAAATCTTTCCTTATATTCTTTATTCTAATGTTGATGCTCGTGACATTTGTCATTTTTCTAAACAACATAAAGTGCCTTTTCCTAAGAGTGATAGTTGTTACTCTACAAATTTTGATATGATACATGCTGATATTTGAGGCCGTATATTTGTCCTATCTATTCATGGTCATAAATATTTTGTAAGCATTGTGGATTATCATAGTAAGCACAAATGACTTTTCCTTATGCATGCTAAATTTGAAACTAGAAAACTTTTATTGATTTTCATTGTTCATATAAAAAATCAGTTTGGTAAAGTTGTTAAAACCATTAGAATTGATAATGGGCCTAAATTTGATGATACTAATTTAAACAACAATTTTGATATAAGTCATCAAAGAAACTGTGTTGAGACAGCACAACAAAATTTTGTTGTGGAACAAAAATAACAACATTTCCTTAATATTGCTAGGAGTTTACTTTTCTAATCTACTTTTCCTAAGTCTTACTAGTGTTATGTTGTTACTCATGCTATACATCTTATTAATAGATTACCTAGCTATGTTCTTTCAAATAAAACTCCATATGAATTATTACATGATAAATCTCATACTTATCTCAATTTGAAAGTTTTGGATGTCTTACTTATGCTTCCACCCTTGAAAGTTTTAGAACTAAACTTAATCTGAGAGCTAGAAAACATGTTTTTCTTGGGTTCAAAACTAGTATGAAGGGTTATGCTCTTCTTGACATTGGAACTAGAGAGATAATTGTCAGTCGCAATGTGATTTTTTATAAAAACATCTTTTCTTATAAAATCTCTAACTGAGAAAATAAACAGATTAATGACGTGCAAGGCAATTTCAATTTTCTTGTGGATGATATTACTTGCTGTGACATATGTAACAGGGAAAAAGATGGTAATTCTCTAGAATATTCTATTATCAACCATGACAATAGTAGAAATGAAGATAACAAGGACGATGACGTTACTAGCAGTGAAGCTAATCAATAGAAAGATGAAGAAAATGATCAAAACCTTAGAAGATCCAATAGATCACAAAAACCTCCTACATATTTGAAAGACTATTAGGTGCAAAGTTCCATTTTAGACAAAGCTTTCAAGAAATCTTTTCATAAATCCCTTTATCCGATTAGTTTTGTTTTATCCTATAAGTCTTTCTCTAAAGATCACTTAAATTACATTCTTACTTTATCCAAAGACTGTGAACCTAAAACATATACTGAAGCTAGTAAAAAACTTGAATGGAACCTTGCTATAAATAAAGAGGAGGCTTTAGTAAAGAACAACACTTAGCATTTTACCATTTACCTAGTGGAAAGAAACCTATAGGGTGTAAATAGGATTTTAAAATTAAATATAATGTTTATGGATTTGTTGAATGATATAAAGCTAAACTTGTTGCTAAAGGGTATACATAATTAGAAGGAATACATTTTCTTGATATTTGTTATCCTGTTGCAAAATTAACTACTTTGAGGCTTCTTTTATCTCTTGTAGCAACAAAGAAGTGATATTTCTACCAACTTGATGTCGATAATGTTTTTTTGCATGGAGACCTTGATGAAGAAGTCTACATGACTCCTCCACCAGGACTCAATACTGTCAAGATCAGGCAAGTCTACATATTAATTAAATC